TGTATGTACATACGAATGTATCCAGGGGAAGCAAGAACAAATTAAACAGGTAGCATGATACTCTATAGGGGCTACCATTAAGAAAATTTGCCGTGATTGCAGACACCATCATTAAGCAAAATACTTATGCACATCAGAACAAATCTGTCATGGTTATTTAGAATAAAGAGTTTTGTTTTATGTGAATTACACAAAATTCATTCATAACCATCTACATATAAAATAAATACTTGTTGTTTACAAATTAACTCAACTATGAAAAAAAAAAAGTTCTAAAATTTTTCTATAAACCTTTGATAAATGAAAAAATTTCCTAAATATTAAGGACCGGATTTGGGGCGATAAAAGTTGTCCCAGCACCAAATTTTGTATTCCATATTTGACACTAACCACCAATAAACCAATATTAGTGTATTTAAATATCACATTTAAGTATTCTATTGCTGATGTACGGTATCCACTGGTACATGAAAATGTCCTACCGTACTTTTTTATTTGTTTTCGTTTATTTTTGCATATATTTTCACAAGTAAATAAATATTTGTTTATTATACTTTTATACATATGTATGTATTTGTAAGTATTAAACATAACATAACTTTTCATCATTTGACACCTGTTACAAATATTTGACAATTGTATTATCTATTGTTGTATATGTTTACTGCAAAATTTCCACATCACTAGTTTGATAATCGTTTTAATTGAATAATTCGAAAATTAAACTCATCAATTATGTTTTTAAAACTCGCTGAAATAAATACCGAAAATGTGTTTATTTCATTGTTAAATATTAAATTTGTAATATATTTATGATGTTTGCAAAAACAAAAAGGTAATGTTGCGTATCATTTTCAAGCATCCCTAAAACTCAACAATACATACCATACATATGTATGTATGTAGATGTTGTCAAAAAACCGCAACTGCAACCACAGGCCAGAAAGGAATGAAAGAAAAGAGCGTATAAATTAAGGGTACCAAATGGCAAAGATGAGGCAATTTATGAAATCGTAACTACTGTCATCACAACATAGATTCTTTTCAAACTTGAAATAATTTATAGCACAAGTTTTTTGTTTTGTTCTGTGATTCATTCCCCCATCTCTTTAATAATTCTGCAGTGTTTTTGGTTTTTAATTTTGACATATGCCACACTCTAGGTTCTCCTTCAAACAAACCAGAGTTTGTGATGCGTAACACAATGATGAGTGTGAATATTATCACTTATTTTTGTTGTGATTGTGATTATTTATCACATTTGTCGTGTCGTATCATCCCCTCTTGTTTGCAACATTGTTTTGTGTGTTTCAACGACATTTTGATGAGTATTTTATTGAGTTGTGTGCTGAAAACAAATAAAGACAAAACCGAATCCCATTTTGTTGTCCAATAGATTTCTTTTTTATCATATTCATTTGAAATTTTCTTTGAAATCTGAAACAGAAAAGGTCATCATCATCATTTTGTATAGAAAGTTAATAACAATGTTGCAATGAATAACTTCTGATCCAGACTGTTTTCTAAATTTATTAAATAATGTCAATTAACAAACGTTTTAGGGGAATTATTTTTAAAATAATCCGAAATATCAATATCATATTCTTTTCTCAAGAACTTAACTTTTATATATATATATATAACTTTTTTTGATTTTGTATTATTTGTATATATCCTTATATGAAAACCATCATAGTTGCCATAAGTGGCAAAATACAAATCTGAAGGTAAATTACCTTGTTCCGAATGTACGTATATATTACATAATATTTCAAATAAATATTACGATATATTCAGTACCCTGCAAAAATTGAGACTGCTCCGCACACGCGAGTTATGGTAAAACTATTGAAACACTCATTTCTAGTTTAAGCTTTCTCTTGAGAACTATTTATATATAACCATAAGCTTTAAGTTTTTTTTAAGTTTTAGTTCTTGTACAACCTTTGACAAATAAAGATCAATAAATAATTTACCTTAATTATCAATTTTGTAACTCGCGTGTAAAGAGTATTTTGCACCGAAAAAAATGTGTTCCAGAAAACGGCAACAATAATTAGATACGAAACAGCAACGACCAACAACGAAAAACTGTTTATATGAGGTCGGAAAAAAAGCAACTTCAAATAAGTTGTTTTCGGTACTGTAGCATTGAACATTTTTAAACTGAAATTAATTGTCTTGATATAATTTTGAATATATCTCACTTTCGATTAATTTCCAATTTTCTTTACAAACATGGAAGTATAAATATTTTCACATAGAAAATAATAAAAATTGTGTAATACCGAAAAATACAAGGATCCCGAAATATTCGGGATTAAAATTTTTAAAATCCCGGGATTTGTAAAAGCCATTTCGATTGGCATCCCTAGAATTATCGTAAATTAACATATTACCCTGCGGGTAACACGCCATTACCATTTCATGGGTTATTAATACATCTTAACGGTTTTTGTCTTTACTTATTGTATTCTATTACATTAAAATACTTGAATTTTATAACATTATATTGTTTCCATATTATCCGCTAGATGTTGCTCTTGTATTTGACTACTAAATCTTTTATTGAAGACACAAACCATATACTTTTGCAGAAATCACAAACAGGGTAGCCAGAATATTCATTTCATTTCTATTTTGGGAATTTTTTCTTGGTCCGATTCATTGCAGTGTGTTGGAAATTGGTTGGTGGAGGTTTGAGAACTTTCGATATTTAATTTTTTTTTAATAGTTATCTACGGCTATTATTAAATATGATATACTGCTTCTTTTAAACAAAATGTGCTAACTCAAGAAAATTATACTTTTTTGAGTTAGCACTTTTTATACCCTACACCACTTTAGTGGGGAGGGTATATTGGGTTTGTGCTGATGTTTGTAACATACAAAAATATTCGTCCTATACCTATATATAGTATACCAATCGGCTTAGAATCGTTTTCTGAGTCGATTAACTATGTCCGTCCGTACGTCTGGCTGGCTGGTTGTTCATGTAAACCTTATGCGCAAGGTACAGCTCGCAATTTTCAAGATAATTGGATGAAATTTTGCACACATTTTTGGCCTAAGGACGAAGCCTATTGAAAATGGTTAAAATAGGTCCATTATTTCACCTAGCCCCCATACAACAGAACCACCCGAAAAGGGCTTCTGAGCTCATAATTATGTTAAATGTACCTGTATATCGATACACAACTAAGTGTTATACAAGCCTTGATGATCTTGCCAAATTTCATAAAGATCGGGCCTCATTTGACCCTAGCTTCCATACAAAGTCCCTCCCCTTCAGAACATTACTTGAATGTCCAAAATTAACCTATAAACATAAATATCGCGATGAAATTCAACACAAATAAATATTGTATATGTAAATATATTCACAAAATATTATCGTTCATATTTGCCTCTAGCCCCCATATAAATCCTCTTTCAGAAAATTAGTTTTTCATCCATAAATTGCTTAAATGTATTAGATCAAAGTAATATTGAAGATAAATGCTTTATTATGAAAAATAAATCACATTTATTATTCATAACTGGTGTAGGGTATCATATGGTCGGACACGCCCTTACTTGTTTAATATAGTGTCTCGATATATTAATTTGATAATTCAAAGATATCCAATACATTAGTATTCTGAATAACTTTTTTTACTACAGACTTCTTGTCAACATGCGTATCAAATCATCCGTTGCCAGATGGAACCTTGAACAATATACATAAATGCACATTTGCAAATGATTATTAATCTATTTACTCCATTCTTAGTCAGCTACTAAGAATAAGTTGTTATCAGTAAATATTTAGTTAAACAAAACAAAAACATGTACAAATAACAACAATCGCATCATTCACGCATATAATTCACATCACCACCATCATCATCATCTTCATATTAATCATCCTCATGCCAATGACACACATTAGAATACGTTCAGCACTTCAATTAGTGCCATCCATAAATGATGAAATTTATTAATTGATAACAAAATCCAGGCAATGTCCATTAGAATAACCATTATTTTATTTTGTTTTATTTGTTTAAAAAAAATACTTAAACTTTTTTTTAATTTTGTAGATCGACTTCGTTGCCTACACAGAAAAAATTATCAGTAGTTTATTTTCAAGTAACATGTTTTTCTCTTTCTTTAGTTTTAATTTAAGCAATTTTTTATTTGTCTTAATTAACTCGTTGTTTAAAACCTAAGTTTACAAATTTGATTAAATTTTTAATTGATTCAATTAGTTTTTTAATTGATTGAAAAAAATTTTCTGGCCAACTTTTCTATTTTAGTTTTTTTTTTTTAATATTTTATTTTGATTTCTTATGCTAACAATGTTTATAATTCTTAAATAGTCAATACGATTTTAGGCATATAATATTCAAGTTTCCTGACAATTTATAAAACACTTTATATGTTCAAATTTGATAATAAAGTGATATTTTTTGTAAAAGCTCAACGCATTGTTAAAGGTCAAGCATTCCTTTAACATTGTGAGTAATCAGTTAATAATTTGATTGTTTTAATCATCAACTTAATTGGTTTTTAATACATTTTCTACCAAACAAACTAATTCATTTGATTAATAAATTAATAAAAATTAGATTTTATTTTTATTAAATATTTAATTTATACAATTAATGAATTAATCAATTTTAAATTTTGTCTCAATTATTGATATTAATTGTTCTGATTAATTTGTTATTTGGAAAAAAAAGTATTTTTTTAATTTTTTTACAAATTTGATAATTGATATCATCATTTTGGTGTTAGGTGCAAAACTTGCTTGATACAATTATTTTGATAATTGAAACATATTTTTAGTTTTTTCTGTGTATAAGGATTTAACGAAAACAAAATCTCTGCAATAAACCATCAACAACTTTATTAAGCATTTATGTATATGGGGATTTTGAATGGAATCATTTCCACAAACGGAATTAAATACTTATGTAAATATGTTTATAATATTCTTTCGAAATAATGATCGACTGTTATGCTACAAACATTAAAAATATATTTATTTAAATATTTTGTTAACATACATTTTAAGGTTTTAAGAAATAAGTACATCGTATTAATTAATTGTTTTGTTAATCTTATTCCGATTTTTATAACGGACTCACAAAATAAGATGTCCATGTTCCCTACTAAAATGAAGGTTTAATTCATTTTTTATGCTACAAACATTTTAAGAGGCGGTCTCTTCTTAAAATAAATTAAACTTTAATTATAAATGGGAACATCCGTAAATTTTTGTTATGAGGCCGTACAAAAAATATTCAAGTATTTTAAAATTGTACTTTTTGTTGCATTAAAAAAGTTTGAAAAAAGTAGTAATTATTCACCATGCAGTGAATAACGCCTTATGTTCGTTTTGTTTTATTTTTTATTTGATCACAGACATAATTTTAGTGCTTTTGTTAGAAATCTTTGGAATAATTTGACAAATCTTAGATACGACAAAATAAGTACAATAGCGCCGCTTTAAGTAACTAAGTTTGACCCATTATGGGTTTTAAGGTTTAAGAAATGATTCCAAAGCATCATCGGAAACATCGTTGTTATTCTTTGGGCTGGTAGGCTGACTTAGATCGACTTCTGAGGATGATGCCATACGACCAGTTCTGAAATATTCTTCAATTTCGAGTAGAGTTCGACCTTTGGTTTCTGGTATAAGGAAAAATATAAAAGGCACAGCCACTAACGAAACAACCCCGTAAAAGGCAAACAGATTTGCAGTGCCCATAGCTGATTCCATGGCAGGATATAGTTTAATGACAGCAAAGGATATAAGTAAACCGCAACTTACTGAGAAGCCAGATGCGCTGCCACGAACACGCTGTGGAAACACCTCGGAGATCATAAAGAAAGGCAAAGTAAGAAGTCCCATGGTTGAGAAGACTATATGCAGCACAATGCAAATAGCTGGTAAAATAGATACTTGTTGAAATTCCTCCGGAAACCAGCCAGAAGCCGCTAATAAGAACATGCAAATTGTCATGCCGGCAGCAGAAATCACTCCTGCTGGTTTACGTCCCCATCGTTCAAATATTGTGCTCATAAAAAATGTGGTGATGATGCGCGCCACTCCCACTAACACCGCGCACAATCTGGGATCTATGGACACACCAGCTAGAGTGGCTATTTGAACAGCATACACAACAACAACTACTACTCCTGAGCACTGTTGAAATCCAAAGAAACCAATCATCAACAAGAGAGGTTTATAAACCTCGGGAGCTTTAACAGCCTGCAAAAGTGATTCGCTTTCGGCTGTGCTGCGGCTTAATTCCGAAGTTCTTTTAATTTGACTTAGTTCATTTTCGAATTCTTCACAATATGATACATCTGTAAATGATTGCAAAAAAATTGAGCACACAAAATTTCTGTTATATATTTATTTATTTACCATTCTTATTAAAGCCTCGAAAGTATTTCAGAGATCGTCTGGCTTTTTCGGCATAACCCTTTTGCATTAACCAACTGGGAGTTTCTGGCATGGGTAAGGCACAAATGGCAGAAAATACTTGATAAGCCGTGGAAATTATTGCTATTAGTTGCCAATCATTCTATAAAAGATTAAATTTATTTGATTTAGAAAAATTCGTTTATTATAACTGATATAGAAGTCCTGCGTGCACACATTTCTGTCACTTTCGTTGCAATACTTACCCTTATAAAATAACCGAGAACATACATGAATAAAATTCCTGCTGCTATACCTATAGAAGTGCCCAATATCAGTCTTCCTCGAATTTTAGGTAAGCTAATTTCGGCAGAATATACTCCTACTGGTGATACGCACAAGCCAATCATGATTCCTAAAAATAAAAGCCAGATCAATATCTTTGTACACATATGTACATACATGTATGCACATAACTACATACATGTATATGAACATTGAAGTGATCAAGATTGCCAACAAATCGAAACCTATCTTATAAGCCGATATAATAAATCAATTCAAGTTTTGGCGTGAAAGTGCAATAAAAACAATCCCATTTATATAGTTCTAGAGTTTCACCTATTACGATTTAGAGCTCATAATTTTATTAAATATACTAGTATTTCTATTTGTGTTATCCTGAAAAAAATATTTTAAATTTTAGTTGAAACGTAAAGTATTGGAATTCTTGATATTCGTGCCTAGGGTTTTAAGCGACAAAACATGTTCCATGCACCCCTTTATAAACAATTACTTTACAATGGTATTTTTTGTAACTTTCGAAAGCTGCAAATGAAATTTCATTGAATTAGAACAACATTTAAAACAGATACAAAAATAATGCACAACAACTAATAAAAATTACTCGACATAGGGTTTGTAGATCTAATGGAGTAGATCACCCTACCATATTTTTTTTAATATACCCCGAAAATTGGGACTAAGAGTTGAATTTCGAAACTCTTCTTTACTAACAAATATTTCTCAGACTATTGAAAGAAAGCTGAATTAAAAATATATTTGCACTACTTATATCGTACTATATTCAGTGTTTAATACCAGAAATTATATAGCCTATTGATGCTTCTTTGTTCCAAAGTTCAAGGACATTGGTCCAGCCGTTTGGGCGTGTTTGATGCACAAACACGAGAAAAATAATATATAAATTTTTTATTTTACCAGCGATTGAAAATCTTGATCTCAGAACATTATGTTCAAAAAAATGTCTGCAATCTTTTATTTTTTCGAGATGTTGAAATATTTACTAACCTGAAAGAAAACGTCCTATTAATATTTGTGTAAAAATTGCTGAGCTTTCTTTATGCAGGGGAGCAGTAGCTAATAAGGCCCAGCCAAGAACGCCACAGATATCGGTGAAGACAATTGTATTTTTTCTCCCCACCCTATCCATTAGATATCCAACCAATAAACCTCCTAAAGGACAAGCCATTGAATTAATGGAGGCTGCAAACAATGAAATTTCCAGAATAAGTTTTATCAGTTGCACATTTGGAATTTTTTAAATAAATAGCACAAATACTAGCATACAAAACCAACTGGCCTCCTCCTCTGAAAGATGGAATTCTTCCGTTATATCCGTTAATTGGCCCAAAGTAACGGAGGGTAAGGCCACTGCCATACCAGCACCCATGACTCCGGTGTTGCCAAGAAAGACCATTAACTCCTGACGTAATACCGCTTTGCGTCGTTCTCCCAGCGGTTTCTCTTTAACGGTCCTATTGAGACCCTTCGATAGTATGGGTGTGTTACGTTTTCTATTGACATTTTCGAATTTAATCTTGTCACTATGATTTGATGACATAATTCAAGGAATAGGACTTTTCTATCCTAAACGATATACGAATCGTTTGTTTGTTTCACTCCGTTTGTGGTATTTGTGTGGGAGTGTTAGTCAATACAACAACTTCTAACGTATGTGTGGATATGTATTACAGTCTAGTTATGTATCTTTGAATTACTCTCATGAAGCCACCTGTTATGGGATTTTTTTAAAAGACTGGTAACATGAGCTTTTGTTTAAATCAACAACACTTAACACTACTAAAAGGCACTTGTAAATGTTTTAGTTTTTTATTAATTTTGTTTAATTAATATAATATTTATTTATATCGTATTAAATTTATCTTTAGAAAATTATGTACATTTGTATAATAAATGCTCTTCTATGTTTGTTTTGTGCTTTGTTAAGTTAGTTTAATAATAATAGTTGCATAATTTTACAGAAATTTCCGTTGTTAAGTATTTTAATTCTGCATTAAGTAAATGTAAAAGAATGGATGGATGTTATTTGTACAAATAAGGCACTCGTCGACATTTGACGTTTGTATTTTTGGCACTTGAATTTCAATTCGATTTCACACAACGACGCAAATATATTTGTTAAAATTAGTCCTTTGTCTAAAAGGACTTAATAGAAGCTATATGTATGTTTTTAAAATACAATCGACAGAACTTTTCCGTTAGTAAAATTTTTAAGAACTGTTTTAAACGAAACTTTCCTGAGGACTGGTTGCACAATTCATTTTTGTATATACATAGTTAGTTGTTTGACTCAATTTAATGCAATCTTGCAATTTTTTTTTTTTAATATTCTATTTCGCCCCGTATAATTTGAAATTGTGGAATAAAATACTTTTTAGAGAATTTATTAACTGGAATCACATGTAAGTACTGTTGCAATTGCAATTGTGTTCTACAGTTCTGTTTTCCGTATTTTTCTATTAATTGCTTGAAATGTTAAAAATCAGCACCAATTTAAAAAAATGTTTCTTTCCCCACCGTAGACGTCTTTCAGTTATTTCACTTTTAACATGTACATTTGTATGTAAGTACTATCCATCACTATACATCTATAAAAGTTCGTTTAAATGTTTATTTATTATTTATTTTATTATTTTTGCATTTTGCACTTAAAGAGTTGTAACAAACTAAATACTTTCGCATTCAATGGGCAACCGAAAAACACTGAACTTGACATTCATTATTCTCTCTCTGTGATGTGTTGTAGATAATTTTGAGGTAAAAATTAACAATATTATACCTTTCAGAAGAAATTCAAATGCGTCTCATCGATTTCAAAGCCAAAACCTAAAAAAACTACTGAATGAATTCAAATGTTGACAATATTGTAAAATACAAATGTATGTTTGTATGTGTATTTATACTTTTACTGCTAACAGTATCGACCAAAATACAGCGTACATTTTTTCAAAGGATTTAAGATTAAAAATAATTCAGGACTGACTTTTCTTGCTGAGAGCTGAATTCATTATCCGATCGAAATCATCGAAAACATTTTTTTGTAATGATGGAAACAATTTTTGCTATTTTGTACAAATTAATATTTGTAAAACTGTAGCAGTATTATCGGTTTATCCTGTAGATTCTTTATATATTCGATTCTCTTAAACATCAATGTTTATTTATGTATATTCATGCATATTTATTTCATACATATGTATGTATGTATTACATTTATATTTATACATGTACATACATACATATGTATATGTACGTATGTATATGTATTGAGATGAATTTATAAGGTTTGTCCTCACAAAAAAATTATACTATTTTTTCAAATACTTGGACTAGCTTTTATATGGGAAATTAAAAGATCGTTTGTTTGATGAACTCTGTGATATGGTACATCATTCTTTTGGCAGTGATGAATTTCATCACCAATTTCATCACACAAGAAGTTAGTAATCAAGTCTCTGTGACTCTCTTTGTTTTCCGAAATAGCGAAAATTCTTCTTATATTTTTAAAGCAGACCTAATGTAGATTTACATACATACATGTATAATAATATAAATTAGTTTGTATTTAGTTTTGTAAGTATCAATGTATGTATGTACATATAAATTTATATACAATTTTGTTTTACAGTTTAAATAATAATGGCAACAACAACGCCGTTGCCAATTAGATACCAACAACAAGAAAACTTTTTGAATTTATTTGCAACACTATGTTCGTTTGAATGTTCGAACAAATAATACACATTAAAACGATGAGAGTACACAATTTATTGCTCACTAGGGTAAACAATTACAATCGAATCAAAAAATTATTTGACATAAACCGAAAATCGGTTATCGAGCAAAAAACAGTTAATCAATCGATTTTTTTGCTATATTACTATCGCGCTTTTAATATACTAAGGGACATTGTTGGATTAACATAGAACTTTATGGGTTCATACGATGCATGTTTTGTTTTTTTCGGTTATAAGAAATTAGTCACTGTACCAAGTCCCCATTAATGCTAATCGAAAAAATCACGGATTTTATACGATTAAAAAAAACGAGTCGGCCACCCTATAGCACACCTACACATACACACAAACTTACTCACCTCTCACAATCACTCACTTTTCCGTGACTGACGGTAAAATGAAAATGATAAACAATGAAAAACTCAGCTGATTGTTTGTTTGTATTTGGTAGCAAGCAAGTAGAGTTTAAACAGGTACGAATTGTACATCATTACATGTTGTAAATAAACAATTAATAACTATTGCATTGTTTTTATTATTTTCGTTGTTGTTGTTGGATAGTACAATATGTAATCGTAACGAAATATCAACAAAAGCAAAAGATAACACAAATATCAACAACAATCAATCGCATGCCAACACTTTTTATTGCTCTTTCTCTCTTGCTCACTCTCTTTCTCTAGAAATTGTAAATATCGATAGTAGGGGGAGTGATAATACGTCACTGTTGAAAATTTATTTTAGCAAATATTTATATACTAATCCATTCGTTTGTATTTACTAAACATTGTAGTCTTTTGTACTACTTAGAGTGTTGCCGATTTGAAAGCAATTTGTCAATAAAATTTTTATTTTTATTCTCACATATCAGAATTTATCATTTGTTCGTATAATATCTAAATGCAATTAAATCGAAAAGGCTAAACAATTAAATACATTTATTATGATCTTTTCAACCTAAACATATACATACATAAGTATGTATGTATGTATAATGTATAAATTTTTGTCATTGTATCCACTTTTTTATATTTTTATAGTGTTTCATTATTTTTTCTATTAAAACGTTAAATTTTATGAATTTCCAATATTTCTAATTAAATACAATACAATTAAAAACATTTCCACAAATTAAAGTATTTTCATTTAGAGCAATACAGTACACGTTATTTTCTAAAAGTGGAAAAGGTCAGTTAGGTAAAACATACAACAAATAAATATAAGTTTCTCCGAAAGAAAAAGAAAAGAAATTACCTTAAAAAAATATATATTTATATAAGTACATACACATACATACAAACATATATTTATTTATTTATGTATATAAATGCTTGCTAATATTCCTGCTCCCGTTCGTTCAAAAATATTGTTGATTAAATAAAATATTTGCAATTGTATTAAGTACGTATTGTATGTTTGTATATCTGAACGTTCCAATTAATAACACAGGCCAACAAATTTTTAATCCAAAGACCAAAGAATGATTTTCATAAAAATAGAGCAAAGTGGAATACGAATCTGCCCTCAAAAAAAGTATCCATCACATCAGGTTTTTCACAAAAACCATCAGAGGGAAAAAACTCCCGGTGAATAATTGTTCATACTTGGCCTGCATATAATCAGACATACATACATATGTATGTGCAATGTACATGTGTACATACATATATCCTGATGGAATGAAAATCTCAATATAGAACCCCCTATCTTATATTTTAAATATATTTCAATGTGTGGAATATCTAGCAACGTTTCCAGAGCCTTGATTGATATAGTACTCATGGAACCACTTCTACCCAAGCAGCATGTACGCTAAACTCCCTATAGTAGTTTGATATTACACAATATGTCCCAAGAAGATTATTGAAACATAAACTAGAATTGGTCTAATTACACTTTTATAAAGCCAATGTGAAGTGGCAGTGGCACTGAGGTGTCCTTATCAGGCCAAGAAATAACAGTCTTTTTAATTGGCACCTTCCCAATTTTGGAAAACACCGCTGTTCTGTCCTCCTTGCCTTTAAGATTTGACCCTTCAACGTTACAAGTACTAGCTAATGATGCTTTGGGCACCGTCTTAGGTATTTTAGTAGCCTTGCCGGAACCTATTGTGAAAACCCTCTTATCGGCGCATTCCCAATTTTTGAAAGGACAGCTTCACTTTTTTCTGGCAAGTTTGGGGTAATCTCCTTGCATTCATGATTTGACTTCTCAACGTTATCAGTAGTGGCTAATGATGCTATGGGTCCCGTCTTAGGTATTTTAGTGTTGTTGTAACAAAAATTTCAATCGGCACCTTCTGTCATATTCATCTTTGAATATGACAGCTTTAGAAGCGAATTAAGCCCCACCATTTGTTTATGGCAAGACTAGCCATCTATCTATCTATCTATCTATCTATCTATCTATCTATCTATCTATCTATCTATCTATCTATCTATCTATCTATATATATATATATATATATCTATCTATCTATCTATCTATCAATCTATCAATCTATCTATCTATCTATCTATCTATCTATCTATCTATCTATCTATCTATCTATCTATCTATCTATCTATCTATCTATCAATCTATCTATCTATCTATCTATCTATCTATCTATCTATCTATCTATCTATCTATCTATCTATCTATCTATCTATCTATCTATCTATCTATCTATCTATCTATCTATCTATCTATCTATCTATCTATCTATCTATCTATCTATCTATCTATCTATCTATCTATCTATCTATCTATCTATCTATCTATCTATCTATCTATCTATCTATCTATCTATCTATCTATCTATCTATCTATCTATCTATCTATCTATCTATCTATCTATCTATCTATCTATCTATCTATCTATCTATCTATCTATCTATCTATCTATCTATCTATCTATCTATCTATCTATCTATCTATCTATCTATCTATCTATCTATCTATCTATCTATCTATCTATCTATCTATCTATCTATCTATCTATCTATCTATCTATCTATCTATCTATCTATCTATCTATCTATCTATCTATCTATCTATCTATCTATCTATCTATCTATCTATCTATCTATCTATCTATCTATCTATCTATCTATCTATCTATCTATCTATCTATCTATCTATCTATCTATCTATCTATCTATCTATCTATCTATCTATCTATCTATCTATCTATCTATCTATCTATCTATCTATCTATCTATCTATCTATCTATCTATCTATCTATCTATCATCTATCTATCTATCTATCTATCTATCTATCTATCTATCTATCTATCTATCTATCTATCTATCTATCTATCTATCTATCTATCTATCTATCTATCTATCTATCTATCTATCTATCTATCTATCTATCTATCTATCTATCTATCTATCTATCTATCTATCTATCTATCTATCTATCTATCTATCTATCTATCTATCTATCTATCTATATATATATCTATCTATCTATCTATCTATCTATCTATCTATCTATCTATCTATCTATCTATCTATCTATCTATCTATCTATCTATCTATCTATCTATCTATCTATCTATCTATCTATCTATCTATCTATCTATCTATCTATCTATCTATCTATCTATCTATCTATCTATCTACGCTGTTATAGCGTCTTTGGCCAAAAGCTATTTTTCAAATTTTGTTGACCTGTGTTTTTGTATAATACCATTGCGAGAGAAGACTGAAAATGCATTGAATATACTTAATGGACTTAATATAAAACTCCAAATGTTGTGAAGAAAGCCGCACATATCATTGCACATTAGTTACTGCGTCCTTCGCGTATTCAATGATCATTATCGCAACAGTTTGAGTGAAGTGTGTGTATCTTATCATTAAAATTAAGCTGACCATCGATTAAGAATATACTATCATGGCAAAAAGCCCATTGACGTCATTTCACATTAAAAAATATTTAAAAAATTAAATATTATGACGTTGTTTTTTCACCTTAAGTTTTAATTTGAAAAAAGCTTTAGTTACGATTAGTTATTTGCTTTTAATGGCTAGATTTGTGTCCCAATTTAAATAAAAGAAATAAATTATGATAATTTCTTGATGAGAGACAGTAAACTTAAAAAACAAAATTTCTTAATCTTTGACTCAGCTCACCAAATATTGACACCAGAAATAAAATATTTAAAGAAATGTTATTTTGAACCAACCAAGCTTTCATTTTCAATTGGAATATCAGTACTTAATTATTTTCCCCATACAAATTGGGCCACCCTAATTTATATATATAATTTTAAAAAATTTTAACAATTTAACGGTTGAGACTCAAATGAATTTGTCTTTTATTTTTAAACAATTAATAAGTATTTAACATCAGACATGGTATAAAATTTAAAATAGTCCAACAAGCACTTGAATGACTTGTTGGAATTATTATCTACAAAAACAAAAGAAAATAAAATATAAAAGCAGAAAGTACTTATACTAACACTTGTATTAAGTATTTTGTTTATTTCATAATCAGAAATTTGCGAATCGTCCATTACAGTGTATCGTCCGCAACGAGTAATAAATACTATTTAACATTCAATGAGTAAAAATATACATATAATATGAAAAAAATGAAACGGAATTTTAATTTGGATTTTTCATAATGTTTTGTTTATTATAAAATGTTTTTTTATTAAATATTTACTAATATTTACTAAACAGTCTTATCACAGCACTTATTAAGTAGTCCGTACATTTGTATTATTTCTTAGTTGTACTACTATAGTATTATCATATTTATTTTGCACAATTTGTCCAGAGAATATTAAAATAAATATTTATGTTTGCATATTTGCACAAACATATAGGCGCACTGCGCAAATCTTTTTTTATAGATTAAGTCAAATAGTCATTAAATTTATAAAATTTATTTAACATAAATTTCTTCCATTTCCACGGGTTCTGCTGGTTTTCTTGATCGTCTACCGTGTCTAAATTCTTCTTCGATTTGTAAGAGAGTACGACCTCTAGTTTCCGGCAGCCAAAGATAAACAAAAATCACGGCCAAAAAGGCAAAAACAGCATACATGACAAAGCAGTACTCTTTGCCAATAACATCTTTCAATGAGGGATACGTTTTAGTGCATACAAATGATACAAAAGTACCAAATGCTATTGTTAGTCCTGAAGCGGGTCCTCTTACATTTTGTGGAAATAGCTCAGAAATCATAAAGAAAGGAAGTGTATATAAACCAAGTGTACTGAGAACTATAAAGGCAACTATAGCTATGACTGGCAAGTAGGGAATTGTTTTAAGCCATGGTTGTTCGTGTAGCGACAGCAGAATCATACAGATGGTCATGCCCATTGCTGAAATTAAACCAGAACGGCGACGTCCCCATTTCTCCAAGATATAACCCATGGGACAAGTGGTCACAACACGGGCCAGACCTATCATTATAGCACACATAAAGGGATCGATGGTGACACCTGCTTCAGTAGATATCTGCACAGCATATACAATTACCACAAAAATACCCGTCAATTGTTGGAACGAAAAGAGACCAATCAGTATTAAAAGAGGCTTATAGACTTCTGGTAATTTTAGCGACTTGAGAAATGAAGGTTTCTTTTGTCCCTCGGTCAATTGTATATTTTTTTGTAATAGATTAAATTCCGTTAAAATTTCTGGATGCGTAATAACAGCTATTAAAAAGAAAACATAATTGTTATCAAAAAAAATGGTAAACGAAACAGATTTAAGTACTAGTTTTAAAAGACATACGTTTCTTATCCAATCCTCTGAAATAATTAATCGATTTTCTAGCTTCAGCCAAACGTGATTTCGATATCAGCCAACTGGGTGACTCTGGCAGAGGTATGACACATAAGAGCGTTATTATTTGAAACGCACAACATATTAAGGCAATTAAACGCCAATCGTCGCGTATAAAATATCCCAAGCCATAGATTAAAGTTATACCCATAGCTACAGAGATAGAGGTACCCAGTATCAAACGTCCTCTTATTTTGGGAGTACTAATTTCAGCTGAATATACGCCAACTGGTGCACTAGAAAGACCACTAGCAAGTCCTGCAAAAAAAAAAAACAATATTATTTATTTTTATTTTATAAATACTTAGTACAATATGACTTAATGAGGGAGATCAATATATGAACTTACTTACCCACTAATATTCGAGAAACCATTAATTGTATAAACATAGATTGTTGGTTTTCAGAGCTGGCTGTTGCCATAAGAATCCACGAGAGCAACGCTAAAACATTCATCACAATAATGGTATTTTTGCGTCCGAATTTATCTAACAGTAGACCAGAAAGTAGACCCCCAAAGGGTGCAGAAAATAAATTGAACGACGCTAAAAATAAATGAGTAAGAAAAGTATTTGTTAAAAAACATATGGCGAATATTATTCCTCAAAATTAGTACTTACCAAACCAGGAAAATTCTGATAACGTCAAATATGCCCCTTGGGTCGTATCAGTCATGGGATTATTTGTAATCGTTGGTAGACCAAGTGCCATACCAGTCGACATTACACCCAAGTTTCCCAAAATCACCATTGTCGCTTGACGTTTCAATGCACGATTTTGTTCACCCAAAGGTTTGTGTTTATACGGTCTATCAAGACCGCTTACTACTCGGGGACTACGATCATTTCGCAAAGCTTCAAATTCTTCATCATTAACATCCTTTAGTTCCGACATCACAAAAATCTTATAAATTAAAACAAAATTACAAATCTATTAATTTATATTTTAATTTTATTTAAATACGTTTACTATTATTTGGTTGTATGTATGTTGGTATTAGAACTTTTAAAAGAAAGCAACTGTTTTACTGTACATAAATGCTTTTATTTATTATTATTATTATTTTGATTGTTTCACAAAGAAATACGTAAATATTATTGTTTTCTATTGTATAATAAGATCAAAATTTTGATTAAATCAAATATAAAGTATATTCGTACATACATACGTTTGTTTTTGTATAAGATGCCCTGCTGTTGTTTAACTTATAAATACTTTTAATATAAATATTTTTGACACTTGTCTACTGTATGGTCTATTGTACCTCAGATACATAAAAACATACATATTTGTACGCATAAATGACATTTCAAAGATCTATAAAATATTAGGGATGTGAATGAATATGTATGTATTTATATATCTTGTGTGTTTCAGTGATGTGCGATCTATTATTAATTTTAAGAATATCCAAATATTTTTCCCAATTATCCATTATCACTTTTTTGAGTATCTCAAAATCTTTTTGTGTAATTTTTTCTAGAATCTGTTTTTTTTTAATTTTTACATGAGGATTACATATTGTTTCTTTTTTAAACAAGATTTTTTTAGATTTGATTTTCATCCATTTATACTTATAAAACTGAAAAATATAATTAAAATTTAAAAATTTATAGAATATTGTCACAATGATCGTGCATGTATATATTGATGATCATAAGTAATTATGTACTACTGTTTTTATGTGCTACATATTCACATACATACATATATTTATAACATATTTCTATATTTTATTGTTGTAATTTGTTTATTTTGTCGTCCAATCAATTAATTTGCAATCAATTCAAATTCATTGACAAAGAACAATAAATTAAAAATACTAGCCGACATTTCGAAATGCCACAATGTTTATTAGTTCGCATTCAATTAATTGAATTCATTAAAGATACAAATTTATAACCGCTTGGAAACAACAACAAAATTATTCATACGGATTTAGTCATGAAATAACAGTTCTACTGTTTGTTGCTTACTTTGCCTACACTTTTTGCAGTCATTGATACTTGAAAAACATTATTAAATTAATTAGAATTGCTTGAATTGAAAAAATAACTAATTGATCTTAGAGTTGTGATGAACACATTTATTAAATGACAATAATTATTCAACTAGATCCTTTAATAAAGTACCAAATCGATCAATTTTTTACAAATTATTTTTATCAGTCATAATTTATATTAAAATACAAGTATTAAGATAATTTAACTATTTTATTAAAATTAAAAAAAACTAATTTACTATGTCGTCAAGGAAATTTATTTAAAAAAAATATTTTTATATAAATTAAAGATTAGAAATAAAAAAAATCAAACAGAGATGATTTGTAATCAGCTTAATTTGCAATTCATTGATAAAATGGTCGTACATTTACTTAAAAAGTGTCCTAACTCAATATTTTCAAGTCAGATGGAAAGTTTATCGTTTGAAATTAGATAGATTACCCAAACAATTTATCATAAATTAGTAATAAACATATTTAATTCTTTAACACATATACATACATACATAAAGGAAGATCATATCTTTGATCTTTTCCGTACATTATTTACGAAATAATGACTTAAAGCTTACAAAAAGCCATGTTTCCCAAATAATTTTCAGTTTTTAGTTAGAACACTTTTAAGGTAAATAATATATTAATACAAATTCTATAGGATAAATCAATCTGCTATGCAAATATAAGACATATGTATATATTTTTACCGTACTTTGTCAAATATAAATTCATTTTTTAATAAAAAAATTATACATACATTAATAATTCCATGCACGTTTTAAACAAATTAAATAAATAATTAAACAGTAAAAAGTACAAATAATATATAAAATTAAATTTAAACACAATTTAAAAAAAATCTTATCAGTTAAGACATAATTAATAAAGAAAATTTTTAAATAAATATTAGTTATTATAATTGATCATGACGACGATGATGTCAACAGCAAAAACACATGTTAACTAAATATGAAATAAATCTTATTTTATTTATATTTCTGTTAAATTTAAAAATATTTGAAATAATCTTCTAATAATAATCATCATCAAAATTTTTAAAATTAAATGGCACACGTGAATTTAGACGAAAAAGCTCATTGAATGATTAAACTGGTTGAACAACTTTTTAATATTTTGTTAATAAACAACATACGAAATACACACTACATATCTATTATTATTATTCATTTACACCTTAATAGTGACACACAATGTACAAACAAAAGTAAAAGAATATTAACAAGACAACACTAACTTTTTCTTAGACTTTCTTCGTTTTTTTTATTTGTGTTATTATGTATGCAATTTAATTTAAATTTTATACACGACCGTCTCTCTTTATTATATGATTTTAAATCCACGAACGCACCAGCTTTTACTTAATCCAAAAAATCAACTTGTTCCGTTAAAACTTCATTTGCAACTAAACAGTTTGACTTAAACGATCATAGTAAAAATACCCTTCCTTTCCGTGTATTTGTGTGTTATGTATGTACATATGTATGTATGTATTGCTGTAGACACGGGTTTGCCTTGTTTCATTTTATTTTTTAGAAATCGAATTGAAATGAAACAAAATAAAATAAACAACCACCAATCTCTGAGATACTTTAACTATACAAATGTTAATATTTTACAGTTTAAACGGCTCACAACTCAACTCTACAGCTGTATAAAGACGGTTTTTCTCAATGTTATTTCAAAATGTGTTATCGTCAATTTAAAAGAAACAACAGCAAAAAACGTATTTATATCAAAATATGTACTACCTCCGAGAAACCTCTCTCACACACATATTCATAAACATACTTAAATAGAAATACTTGCGCCCAAAAAGGAAGCAAAAGAGAGGGTGGTATTTATTTAAATCTCATATTTTTCACTGTTTTTCAAATTACTGGATAGATAAATCTTGTTCCGTTACAGATTTATGCAGCTTTGTACAAAGCTTGATTACAATTGGTTCGACAAGCGACTGGTAATAATAATACACTTTTTATGTTTACATAAAAAAGTTAAAAAGTATCTTTTTAATACTACATCATGAGATATTTACAATAACACAAACTAAAGGGAACCTTCCATATAAAATTTGTATGTAAACTCATTGTCGTAAGTGTGTTAGTTATAATAGATTTAATTATATTTTCAAAACGATGCCTATTATTTCCTATTTTCGGTTATTTAAAATAATATCGTTTAGTTATTCCTCTACATTATTTATGCACAATTTTGCCAATGCTACCGTTACCGCTAACATGACGTTACCGAAATAAACAAAAATATCGTTATTTAATAGTTATGTATGTTTTCGAAAATTTTATTCTATCCCTGTGTTTTGTTAAGCCGTTAATTTTTCCTTTAAAACACCATTTCATCAGCTCAATATCCTTACTGCTAAGATATCGTTACCGAAACAAACTGAAATGCCAATTTTAGTTTTCACAGGTACTTTTGATATGCATACAGACATACGTATTTCATATACAAAAATTCGAAAAAACTCGTATTAATCACGGCTGTGAAAAAATATATATATTTCAAATCTGATCAACAATTTGCCTACTAAGACCCTCGGATAAGAATAAATATTTAACAAAAGATTATATAATATAAAACAATGTACATACATACATATGATGTATACATGTACATTGCATACATACTATGTGTTTTGTTATCAGAGTTTAAACGTAAAAATTTGGGATAAACAAAGGTTTGTAAAACGAAATAAAAACGCACAGACATTTTACATGCATTTATTAAATTAAATAAATAAACACATGCTGTTTGTTATAATTATTCAAAAATTCCATTTATTTTACAGATGACACTTATTTTTATACCCACCATCCAAAAGCTGTAGGTATATTTATTTCGTTATTCCGTTTATAGCACATCAAAATATGTATTGCTCGAAGACCCGAGAGTCTGTTTTAAGCACGATAGAGTTCGAATGAATGGAGCTAAAGGGACGAACATTTCTAAAGATATTCTCATCGATAAGGTTTGCTTAGTATTGAAAATATTAGTCAAAGATTTCACCTATGTATGTATGTATGTATATACTTAGAATCTGTAAAGTATATACATCGGTTCATATTTCAACTTAGCTTCCATATAAGGTCCCCTGCAGAGAAAGACTTTATAACAGACTTTGCTGAAGACCCTTTTTGAAAATCTTTCCGATATAATATAAGCGATTGATAGTGAGTATATATGATTCGGCATAGTCTAATATAACACATTTTTTTACCTGTTTATTTTTCGTTTTTGCACAATGATCCCTGCCATGTCTGTCATTCACCTATTATCATTTCTTATCGTTGAAATTGTTATTATGATCAAGTAGTATCTAAAACATTTTTTTATTTTATTATAAAATACTTCTTAAAGGGTCATTATCATTTAAGTTTATTTATTAGCCTTGAAGTTTTGATAAGGTACCCATATGTAGTATACATATATTAAGCACTTATTGAAAAGTAATAAAATCATTGTTTTATAGATATGCATGTACGTAAATATGTTTTTAGATTTAATATTTTGAAAAACCGTTTCATTGAAAAAATATGCATTAATGCCAATAGAACTAAACATGAGTTTCAAAGTAACGGTGTTTTTAATAAATCCCAAACCATTTTGTCATATTTATTTTACGGATGACTAAAATGGACCAATTGGGAAACCAAAATATAGGTTTTCTTATCTAATATTTTACACAAGAGCACAATTTTGCGTGATTTGATTTTAATATGGAATATTTCTATTATTTTTGTTTATAATTTTATAGTTTATTTATTTAATTTTGGTATATTTATTTAATTAATTTTTTTATTTTGCTAGTGAAATAAAATTGCCTATAACAGTTAGCGATAGATAACGTAGAAATTTGGTGAAACAGTGGCGAATTTAAAAAGTCTTGTTGAAAAAATATATTTACCACAAATTCCGTTATTAAAATTTTTAAAGAAATTTAAACATCCTAAAAGCATGCTGTGGTTTTTATTTTATTTTTTTAAAGTATGTTTTTTTTCAAATATACTGCAGACATTTTTGCATAACAAAGCAAAAACAATACTTTTAGGATGAATTTTCTCTACGAACATAAATAACGGCGTCGTACTGGAATTTTACTTTTTCATTTTAAGCCGGCTTTCATAAAATGTTAACGCCGTCATTCATGTTGGTTGACGCTGAGACATAGTCAGCTGGTTGAGATGCCATGTGTGCAGATTTTCCCCTTTATGTAAAAAAAGTGAAAGATTTCTTTTTTTTCGAATTAAAGGAACGAAATTGAAGACATATATAATTTTTATATTTTTTTTAAATAATATTTGAAACTTGAACTAAAAATTTACAATTTAAAAATAAAATTTAATTTATTTTCATGATGGGTGTGGGGAAAAAAGGGATTTCTTCTCATAAACATAGGAATTTCTGTAAAAATCTTCTGGCTTCATTGGCTTGTTATTTTGTTTACAGTGTTATTAGTCTGCCAAAAGTATATTTTAATAAATATTCTTCATAATCTCCCATAAATTAACTTAAATTTTGTGATAAAACAAATACAACTTTTTTAAAGTTTTCATTTAAGCTTAACATTATTAGTGCAGTAATTTCGTAAGTTTTTCTTTTTAAATCGTAACCAGTTGATTAATGTGTGGATGTTACTTTGAGGCACTCCCGATTAGAAAATATTCAAGTTACAGATGCAAGAATAAAGCAACAAGAAAATTTAGACACATGGAAAGCTTAAATTAATTGGTTTGTTTACACACAAAAACCCAAAAACAAATAGAGATTGGAGAGTTTTCTTCGTAACAACGTGTAGAGCTGGAACGAAGTATGCGCAATGAGTAAAAAGGATAATTTTGAGAGAAGGAAATAATTTGAGTTATAGTAGGGGATTTTCTAAATATTTATGTTTTTAATAAATTTTAAAATAATAAGCGGAAGTTGTGAAAGTTTTTTCTAAGACGTCTTACCGCTTGCTTATATGTATGGCTATCTGACGGTATATTGGATAAAATGAATCCGCTCGTATCTTCGTATGGACTTGCAATTAGAAATAAAACTTATATCAAATATAATAAGGAATGTGTATACATTAAAAATTGAAATTTTCCTATGGCAAATTTTACTTACCCTTGCATGATGTTCGAAAAACTTAAGTTGGTATTATTACTAGCAATTTAAAGTCAAACTGGACCAACATGGACATACATACGTATGAGTTGCGTGAAAAGAGTACTCCTCAAAGGACTAGGACTGGTCCAAATATATATATGGAAAAAACAATCCTTTTAACATTATGATGTCCAAGATGAGGACCACGTAATCCATCCATGCATTACATCAAAGTAATCCCAAAAAAATGGGTGTACAACATGTGCCTATATAATGCAAGCTATGGGCAATGTTACATTATCCATCACATTACATAGGACTACTATACAAATCATGTACTCCAATTATGTTTGAAGGGCATTTAACAACAATAGTTTTTATTTGCATAACCCAACCTACTTAAAATTGTTTAATTATCGATTGACTTCGACCAAAAAATTTTCTTAAACATATAAAGATACAATGCTAGGACTAATCTAAGTCTAGTTAAGAAAAATATTTTTTGTTGGTTTTTTAAAAACCACATTAAAAATTATTTGTATTTCGAATATCATCCTTCCCGCAAAAATAGCAAATTTTCTCAAAATACGCAATATCTATCTCTGCGCTGGCTTCACACAACAACACTCTTGTTACTCCAAAACGAACCACATTTTTCTCACGGTCTCAGGAAAAATCTTTGCCTTACTCAACAACAGTATATGTACCAACACAAGTGCTTTTGGTGTAGAAAAGCAAATGTTTCATTTGAGTTGATGTAGAACCGGGAACGCGTTCGGAGGTCCTCTCGCAACAATTTAATGTTGCAATCAAATACTTCTCAAGAAGAAGAAATAATAATTAATATATGGAGTTTATCAACATACTAACACACGCACGCATACAGAAAAAATTAAAACATTAAAAATAGGAATATTTTTTTATATTGTTTAGTTTTAAAGAAATCAAAAAAGTAAAACAAACAAGTGGTGCCTTTATTAAAGCTTGGCCTAAAATAAAGCAAGTAATTAAAATTCTAAATGTTAAAATAAAAACTTACAAATCCAGAAATCTCGTTAAAAAGAAAAAGTTGCAGCAGACTTTTAATTGTAGAGGCACGATAAATTATAATAAAAATTCATACTAAAAAGCCTTGCATGTAATATTGTTCTAAATAAAAAAAAAACACATAATAATTGAATAAAATTCGTAAACACGACTATATGACGAAGTTCTCGTTTTTTTTTTTAACCTAGAAAAATTCTTTAAAATAAAGTATAATCTTAGGTATTAGCTTATTTTGAGATATAAATAAGTACCTAAAGCCTACACATCCTGTGCAGTGAAAATAACAATACATCCATGTTAAATAAATTTTAAAGTTAATGATTAAATTTCCCTTAATAGTTTTACAATTTCTTATTTATACGTGTATGCATTTGTAATTAGTGAAAGTGAAAATCATCATTTAAAATCCAAATCTGAAATGCAATAAATTTGAAATAGATTTATTTCGACCCATCAAAATAAGCGTAAGAAGAAAAGAGATAGAAAAATTGTTGCGGCATATACTCGTATAATAACAGCCACACTGACTGGCCACTGACATCATCATCTTTATCACTGGATTTTCAAAATGACCACAGATCTGCTTTTTCCTAAAATTGCGGATTGTTCATACGTTTCATGTTATTGGTAAGTAAAAACATGACTTGTTTTTTAAACGCATTTCATTTTATTAATAACATTATGATAAATATCATATATTAAATTTATTTTTCCATCCGCTTTTAAAAGGTGGAGTTTAATTATTTTTTTCTAATGTGTCTAAAGGGATTAATAAAAGTCCCATAGTGCATATGAATAATATACACCTAAATATTAACGCACAATCACATGATTAAATAAAGTCCAATGATGCAACCAAACACATTCCTCTAAATAATCTTGCAAACTATAATACGTTTGTCATATTAAGATTAAAAAATACTAAAAAAAATATTTCTAAATATTTTATATCAAAGAAATTATTCTTTGTTTTATATTAATATTAAATAATAAAAATACATTCGTTGTCATGTTGTCCAGCAACATTTTATTAAAACAGTGCAACACACTCACAAAAATAATAATATTCAATTGTTGTTGTACTCAATGTTTAGTAATATTGAAAAGTTCAAAATTTGTAATAATTTCCATAATAGAGATAAACGCCGCAATCATAAAACACACATTTTTTGACTACCAATAGAATTTGATATAATTTGCCCAAATTTTGATTATGATCTTGATTTAGTTATGGACCGAGATTTTAAAATAGTAAATAATGTTATCCAAAAAGTTATTTTTATTTTAGTTCAACAATTTTTCATGAGGGACATTTATGTTTTCACTCAAAAATCGATTTTTGATTGTAAATGATAGTGATCACAGATTATCTTTCTTTTTGCTCTAGTGCCTCTAGTTTGGCTAGAAAATGGACTTTTATGTTATCACTCAATGATTCGGTTTTTGGTGGTTTTCAAAGTGATCACAGATTTTCTTTCTCTTTGCCCTAGCGCCTCTAGTTTAGCCAGAAAATGGACTTTTATGTTTTCACTAAAAAATTCGGTTTTTGGTGGAAAATAAAAGTGATCTCAGATTTTCTTTCTTTTTGGGCCAGTGCTTCTAGTTTAGCTAGAAAATAGATTTTTATGTTTTGACTCAAATATTCGATTTTTAGTGGTTTTTAAAGTCATCACGGATTTTCTTTCTTTTTGCCCTAGCGCTTTAGTTTTACCAGAAAACGGACTTTTATGATATTACTCAATAATTCGATTTTTGGTGGAAAATTAAAGTGATCACAGACTTTTATTCTTTTTGCTCTAATGCCTCTAGTTTAGCTAGAAAACGGACTTTTATGTTTTTACCCAAAAAATCGATTTTGATGGTAAATTAAAGTGATCACAGATTTTCTTTCTTTTTGCCCTAGTGCCTCTAGGTTAGCCAGAAAATGGACTTTTTTTGTTTTCACTCAAAAAAATCGATTTTTGATGGCAAATGATGGTGATCACAGATTTTCTTTCTCTTTGTCCTAGCGCCTCTAGTTTAGCCAGAAAATGGACTTTTATGTTTTCACTAAAAAATTCGGTTTTTGGTGGAAAATGAATGATCACACATTTTCCTTCATTTAGCCAGATGAACTGTTATGTTTTCACAGATTTTCTTTCTCTTTACCCTAGCGCCTCTAGTTAAGCCAGAAAATGGACTTTTATGTTTTCACTAAAAAAATTCGGTTTTTGGTGGAAAATTAAAGAGATCACATATTTTATTTCTTTTTGTCCTAGCGCCTCTAGTTTAGCCAGAAAATGGACTGTTATGTTTTCACAGATTTTCTTTCTCTTTGCCCTAACGCTTTTAGTTTAGCCAGAAAATGGACTTTTGTGTTTTCACTAAAAAAAAAAATCGGTTTTTGGTGGAAAATGAAAGTGATCATAGATTTTCTTTATTTTTGCCCTAGCGCCTCTAGTTTAGCCAGAAAATTGACTTTCATGTTATCACTCAATAATTCAGTTTTTGATGGAAAATTAAAGTGATCACAGAATTTCTTTCTTTTTGTTCTAATGCCTCTAGTTTAGCTAGAAAACGACTTTTATGTTTTTACCCAAAAAATCGATTTTTGGTGTTCACAGATTATCTCTCTTTTTGCCTTAGAGCCTCTAGTTTAGCCAGAAAATGGTCCTTTATGTTATCAATGATTCGGTTATTGGAAAATTAAAGTGATCACAGATTTTTTATTTTTTCCCCTGTTTGGAAATTAAAGTGATCATAGGTTTTCTTCTAGTTTAGCCAGAAAATGGAGTTTTATGTTATCACTCAATGATTCGGTGTTTGGTAGTTTTTATAGCGCCTATAGTTTAGCAGAAAATGCTTTTATGTTATCACTCAATGATTCGTTTTTTGGTGAAAATTAAAGTGATCACAGATTTTCTTTCTTTTTGCCCTAGCGCCTTTAGTTTTGCCAGGAAATGGACTTTAATGTTTTCACTCAAATAATCGATTTTTGATTTTGATAGTGATCACAGCGCCTCTAGTTTGTCCAGAAAATTGACTTTTATGTTTTCATTCAAAAAATCGGTTTTTGGTGGAAAATTAAAAAATTAAAAATTACAGATGTTCTTTCTTTTTGCCCTAGCGCCTCCAGTTTAGCTTTTATGTGTTCGCTCAAAGAATCAGGTTTTTGGTGGAAAATTAAAGTGATCACAGATTTTCTTTCTTTTTGTCCTAGAGCCTCTTGTTTAACCATTTATGTTATCACTTAATGATTTGGTTTTTGGTGGTTTTCAAAGTGATCACAGATGTTCTTTCTTTTTGCCTTAGAGCCTCTAGTTTAACCAGAAATATACTTTTATGTTTTCACCCAGTGCCTTTAGTTTAGCCAGAAAATGGACTTTTATGTTTTCACTCAAAATTTCGGTTTTTGGTGGAAAATTAAAATTATTACAGATTTTTTTCTTTTTACCCTAGCGCCTCTAGTCGTTCGAATTCGCTTTTGCATTCGCAAAAAATAAAATTTATTATTCGCTTTCGCTAAACGGGCATTCGCAACGACCCTAATTTAAAGTACATATTTGAATATATTTTTATTTTCATTAAATTTTAAGAAAATTCCATAATGCCAAAAAAGAAAAAAAAGAAACCCATAAGAAGAATGTACTACAACTACATTAAGCTCTCAGCCAGACATTGGAGAGGAATAAAAAGCGACCCACCACAACAATATCCAACTAAACTCAGAATGCTGAACCTAAAAATTACCAGCAGCAGCAACAACAACAACAAAAACAACGATATAACTTTTTAATGTACGAAAATAAAACTAAAACGAAAACTAAAAGAATAGTCATACACAGAAACTGAAATACAAACACATTCAAACATAAACACACACAAACTCTCACACATTCGTACTTTTAAACATATTTGCAGTACTCGAAAAGGAAAAAGGAGTTAAAAACCATAACATTTCTCCCTCTAAGCGTGAGCATGACCGTTTGACCTAATTTCTGACGCGTTTGAGTAATGAAAGTATTTGAATATGAATAAAGTACAAACACAAACACACATACACATGCAGATACAGATACAAAACGCAGAGGTATTCAAAGATATGCACACAAACATATACATATACATACGTACATATATATGTATGAATGTGTGCATAAACTTTTAAAATCCATTTCATATTAAACTATAAAAGATTTTTTACTCACTGTCTGTCTGTCTGTCCGCCTGAAAGAAAAGTAGGACCTTATACACTCACAAACTCCCTCACATCCATATAAAAGAAAAATAACAAAATTGGTTAGTTATCTTTTTTTCGAAATTTAATGAACATTTTCAGATTATTATTTTTTAACTCCGAAAATTAAAAAAAGAAAAAGCAATATTTATTTACCTTTAAGCCTTAAGTAAAACACACAAAACATTTTTAGTTTTAGTTTATCCTTGTTATTGCGTTTATTCTTTTTTAAATTTCGTTTAAAATAAATGTTCTTATAGATTTATATTTGATTAGTTTATTACTTAGATGAAATTTGTTTGCGAGTTTTGAGAAATAACGGTTATGGTTTATTTTTTATTTGCGAGAAATTTTATATTAATTCCTAAAATATTAAAGCTGTTTATTAAAGAAGGGTAAAATAGTTTATATGCCAATTTTTTTTTCTAAACGGTATTGTATTTTTTAGATATACTGGTATATTTAATTATAAGCCCTTACAGCCCTATTCGCTGGTGCGGTTGTTTCAATAAATTTAAAATAATCTTCAGCTGACTTTGTATTTAAATTTGTAGAAGAACAAATTCTATTTATAGACAATATTGCTTGAAAATTCCTTATTTCCACTAAATAATACACAATGATGCTGCTCCTTGTATCATAACTGCAGATGTAGATGATGTTGTACAACATCGTCATCGCCATCGCCATCATTGCACCATTAAGCCATCCATGTTTTTATTTATTATTTATCCCATCTAAAAAATAATTTAATAAAACTGAAGGCATTCAATCTATCCACCACTCAATAAAGTGATAACATTTTTATTCTCGGCTCATTTGTGTTGGTGGAATGCATTTATAATAGCAAAATTTCTCGTCTAAGTACATTCTTCTTTAGTGGGACTTTAAGGAATTCTTAATCTTAAAGAATACTTAATATTAATGGTAATAAAAAATAAATAAAACAAACAACCATGTACATATGTAGTATCGTTATTGAATAGATGTACATATTGTTATTGAATCTAAAAATTTTAACAATTTTCTTTCATTTTTATCATATACATAAATCTATATTATAAAAAAAACTACTAAAAACGGTAAAAACAAAATATCGATTCTTAATATTTTAAAGTAATCAGAAAAATGTTTTTGATCGGAATGCAAGGCGACTCATATAAGTTCCCAAATTTTTAAATATAATGACCATAATTAACTCATAAAAGTCATCTAAGAAAATGCTTTAATAATCTACTATCATACTAGGTTTCAAAAATGCTTAAACCAATAAAGGCAGTAATATTTTTTAACTCTCAATGTTTTTTTGGTCAAAATTTAACAATAAATTCTACGTCTCTGATAATAAATGGCACAAGCAACAAGATAAATATTGTGTCACTTAATCGTACGCAATCACTTTTGGGGTATACTGGCGCTGAATGTGTGTATGTATACGTTATTGTTTGTACATAGATACACATATTATTTTTTTAGGCGAATAAACAACCACATGATATAACGAAAATGAAATTCCTGCAATAAGAAATGACACCAGAATAATGGTAACTAAAATATAAAGAAATATTTATGACAAAGAATCCTCAGTACTCATACAGACAGAATTCTCAGCACTCACTTTTCAAACAAACATACTATATAACCCAACAAACACTTTCATATATGATGATATACAAAATTTTACAGAAGACGCAAAATTCTTTATAATTTTTCATTCTTTTTATATATATTTTTTTTGTATAAAATTTGATCGATCCGCGATTTCTCATAACCCCACACCAGTGATCCCCGGAAAAATTTTAAAAGAACCAAAATCCCATTACTAACTTTAATGATATCGGTCCCCTTAGGAATATGACTTTAACGCTAAAATACTAGTATAGAGGTGAAATAAGAGACTCGGTCCGTAATTCATCCCTGTTTACTTGTTTTACTTTATATTTGTAAAAAGTATTATTCCATGAGTTTTTACTAAATGAACGTTTCAATTTTAGACACTATTTCCTACACGTTGATGTATAAGATGTTCAATATTTATCTTGTAAGAGAGGTAAATACATACTGTAGCTTAATACATTTTAATTAGCAGGATTTGTTTGTTGGGGAGATACCTTTAAATGTTTATATGGAAGTATGTAATGTCTTCATATTTAAGTTTGAAAGTATACAAATACAAATGTAGATATGTATGTATATTGTACAATGTATGTATTAATGCATAAAAATTTGAAGAAAAGCTTTCTAGCTCTCTAGTCCCGCGGGATATCTTCATTGATTAATTCACAGTATAATAAGATTGTATCAGTATGTTGATGCCTGATGTCCAGTGTTGCCAATTTTTTCACCATTTCCAGTCAAATTATGGTGTCAAATTTTTTTTAATTTACCAAATAAATATTAAATTTCATTAAATTGGAAAAGTAAACTGAACCACTTTAGAACTAGACTATAGACTAGAATATAGTCCAGACTTTAGACTGGGCTTTATACTGCACTATATTCTAAACAAAATATGTACTAGACTATAAACTAGACAGACAGAATAGATTGTAGACAGACTAAACTATAGAAAAAGTATCAAAAATACTATTCTTGAAACCCGTTTATTAGAATAAACGGACAGACTAGATTGTATATAGACTAGAGTATATAGTCGACTATAGACGATGATTTGTAAAAAACTTTAAACAGTAAAGAGCTTCAAATATGTATCTCGAATTTTCGGAAAATATCGTAAATACTCCATTTTATATGTGAAATATTCAAAGAAATCTTTAAACGCTGGTAAAATATTTCCAAATTGCCCGTTAAAACGCATTTTCCCAGCAATTGCCGTTTCAAAACCCGCAGATTTGACAGGAAATCAGTCATCAGTGCTGATGTCTGTGTTTCAGTGTTACGTTTAAATACTTATGTTTTTATTATCATTTAAAAAAACATTTAAATAAAACACATAAAATAAATATTTACTTCCTATATACTTCCTTTAGTGATTAACTGTAGTTAAAGGTTAAATGGTAACACTGATATGTACATAAGTATATAAATATGTATGTATGTGGTATGTTCATATGTACTTTTGTATAGAATTTGTTTATGATGCTTCATGGTTGAAAAGGTAAACAACAGCATCATCCCAGAAATTAAAAGAAACTCGGAAAGTATAAATGTATAATCGCAGAATTGTGAGTAATATGAAATATAAGATTTGGAGACTTTTCTCTCCTTGCCATTTCTTTTCGTCCTGTGGCAAAATAATTGTAATTTCCTACTCCACTTGGAGAGTATATTTTATTAGAGAGAAAATTGATACTATTAAAAGAGAGTTCCGTCAAACTTTCATACATACTTGTGTATTCACGTATACGATATATGTAGTATATGTGTATGTATACGATATATTTTTTCAATTATTACTCACGTCTGTATATTTGTTTTTATTTAAGAATAACCGATTTATATTGCTGTATTTTATAGGATATTTATTGTAATTTCTCTTCTGATTACAACAAATGTCACTGATGAATGATTGCAAATGCATTGTGAAAAATATTTTCACGTGTAAAATGTCCGAGAACCCTTTTTCACTCTCTTAATATTATTGTTGTTAAGGTTAACTACGAAATCGCCAGTTCATCGGCATTCATATTGAGCAAAAATTTTAAATCATGAAATTTAATGACGAAAACCACTTAAAAACTGGTCCATCAAACAATGTAAATGTAATGCAAATACATACATACATACATACATACATTGTCGGCCAAAACATATTGGAAAACAATTACATGTTACATATTTATGGAATTTGTAAATTTAAAGTAACATTTTTTTTCAAAAAATAACATGGAAGAAAAGTAGTATTTAAATTCATGTTTTTCTTTTAATTAGATATTATTTTTGTCTAATCAATTCACTACGTAACGACTGACTTTCTGCTTTACACAGAGGTCATATGCGTCAAAAAAAACAAAAATATAAAACTAAAGAATTAAGAATTTTAAAACTAAAGAATTAAGACATTTGGAAAAGATACTGACTAAAAATATTATTTATATACATACATATACATATGTATGTAAAAATGTTCTACAAAAGTTAACATTTATGCCAAGGGCTACTTGGTCTAAAATATAACATATTCCATTTATTTAAAACCCATAAAAATGTATTAACTGCAAAATTCTCATTTAATTAAAATGCAACTAAAAACTTGTTTGCATTTATTTAAAATTCGCTCAATGTATTTAGACCATTCGTCATTTTACTGTATTATTGTTATTTTTTATTTCAGCTTTTGTAAACATGTTTTTTGTATTTTATCCTTTGATAACCAACACGTTGTTGCTGGTTGATGGTTAATATGAGTGACCACAAAAAACATTGCCTGCCTGTCCTGGTGGTCACGTGAGAATACTTTACTAGCTACAAACACTCGATTAAATATATACATACATACATATGTACTTATGTATGTGTGTAAATAAATATTTACATACATACATTCATACATATTGTATATTATAACCCGCAGAGGTGGGCAATCTCGATACCATGTAAAACAGACAAATTTGTAGCATCAATCCTTACAGCTAAAATTCTCATAAAATTAACGCTACCACCACCTTTAAAATACGGTTACCTTTTCGAAACGTTTTCCAACATTGCTTCAAAGCGTACTTATACCTATTAAGAATTGCACATATGTTTTAATATTCTCCAAAATTACAAGTTTTAAGTTTTATTATAAATGTGTATGTTAACAATGAATTTCAAATTTCGATTCGAAATTTTTATCTAATCTGTTATTTTTCCCTCTTTTTAGCGAAGAAAATGTTTGGAAACTTTGCGAACAAGTTAAGAAAACCCGTATCGACGAACTTTCTAAATGTTATGCTGTGTTTGTATCAAATGAGGGTCGCACCGTGCCCTTATGGCGCCAAAAGGCGGGACGTGGAGATGACCAAGTTGTGATATGGGTAAGTAGATTATTACTTTCTCGCAATATATATATGTATGTACCTGTTTCTAACTACACACATACAAAATGCAAACATTTTTAATTTCCCCTCATCATTTTTTCTGATTTTCCCCTTAATGGCCTTAAACACGCACACAATTTGCATATGTTCGTTCGTTTTAATACTTGTTGTCGGTTTAAAAAATTTATAAACTACTTTAATAATAAAGCATGATATTAAATTAATTTAAAATAAAAGAAACTTTCTTCCACTTATTTTCAAATCGCATACTTCTATACATACATATGTACAATGTACATTTAAGCATTTTCTTAGAGTCATTGCATCCATGTTAAATATAAAAAGTTTCAATATTGTACAAGTTGTATTTCATAAAAATTTCAAACAAAAATACATTTCAAAATGTTGAAATACATATATGAGTATGTTTTAATTGAATAAATATGTTTCTTGCTATATGTAAAACTTTCATTCTGTTTTGGTTTGATATTTGCTGCCAAAGGCGCTTCTAATGGCCGGTTTATATTATGTCATCTTTGTTGAAATAGTTTTCGTTATTTCATTTCAGGACTATCATGTATTTTTTATGCACAATCCTTCCCCAAATAGATGTCTGGTATTCGATTTAGATACGACCCTTCCTTTTCCAACATATTTTCATAAATATGTTACAGAAACATTTCGTTCCGATTTAGCTTTAAGGCAAGAACATCACAGGTAAGAAAAGTTCAGATCACGTTTTGAATACATATTCATTTTTATACATATTTATTTTTTAGATTCTTTCGTGTAATACCTGCTGAAACATATCTTGCTGAATTCTCATCAGATCGAAGGCATATGAGAAGGCCAGATGGTAGCTGGATAAAACCTCCACCCTCGTATCCGCCCATACAATCATGTAGTAAGTAGAGTCCTTGCTAAAATATATACCAACAGTTATGCAATCCAATAATTATTATTGTTGTTCTTCTTTTGTCACAGGTAATACCCACACTTTGGGTGATTTCATTTGTATGAGTCCCGGCAAAGGACCTGGCTCGGTCTATAGCCTTTCAGAGTTTGTTCAAAACTTCTATAAATCTCCAAATGTTGTGGCGCAACAAAATAATAAATAATATCATCCAATAGATATTTTAAAAGTGTGACTATTAGTTAAATTTAATTGAAAATTTTCATTTAAGAACTTTAATACTGCATTAAAAAATTACCAACAATATTAAGACTACCGCACTTTACAGTTAAAGAATAATAAAACTAAAACAGCATCAGCAAAAAACGAATATGTATGTGAATAAAAGATTATTTTTTGTTCTATTTATTTAACATTTTTTGAATATTTAACAACACAAAAAATATCACACACCAAATGTTTATAAGCAGAACATTTTCTTTCATTTGATGCAAAATACTTTGCTTAATATTTTCAAATAGTCGACAACACCGGTTGTGATAAATGGATTAGCAATTAAGTTGCATTGCTAAAATATCTCATTTATTGTTAAGTCGTATTTCATTCACGAAAATACCGGTTATACACAGCCGAACATTTATGTGAACTTCTATCTGTGGTTCTCTTCGATATGGATATTAAGCAAGACCAGATAGTTTATCGAAATTTAAATCACAGTTAAGGCTTCAGGTAAAACTTATTTTGTTTTTGAAAAAAATAATTTTAATAATTTTACAAGGGATGCAAAAAAATAAATTGAAACTGTACATTGTACTTAGTTTTGTTGGAGTTTGTCAACAGAGAAAACTGTAAACAATTCTAAGTTTCGTCATTCTCGCGGAAAATCAAAATTATTGCAATTTTTTTATATAAAATTTTTATACATATGTTTATTATTCACAGCTATTTTTATTATAAATATCAATTGATGTTAGGAGAAATACGTGACCAAATACTCGAGATTGTACGAAAATAAAAAATCACACATAACAATTAGAATTTTGAATGTTAATTTATTAAAATAAAATCAATTATACATATATTTTTAAATATCTTAAATATTTTACAATTTATACTCTAAAATTATATATTACTAATACGAATCTTATCTGTCTATAATTTATGCAATTTTTATTCCTAATCTCTCACTATCTACTTACTATGTATGTATATTGTAGGAAAAATACAAACATGCCTACATATGTACATATGTATTTATGTATTTTATATGTGTAGGAGATCAGAAAACGGACTTTTTGTTTTTGTTAATAAATTGTTTATGTATATATGTTAAAACATTTGAATAAATATTTTATTCGAAAATTATTTCAAAGAGACTGAAAGTAGTAACCAAGAATGTAGTTTGAAGGCAGCATTATTATATATCGTTTCTCACATTTCAATAGCAAACAAAAAATAAAAATAAATAAAAAATTATTAATTAGTATATTAATTTCTTCCCCAAAAACATGAGCAAATATTTGTTTACTAGAACCCAAGCCCACGTAATGCTAAAATATATAAAATCGTTAAAAAGACTGATGCCTGTTAATATGGTAAATATATGTATCTTATAATTTTTTTAAGGTCCTGCAAGCTCCCTCCATTATGTTAAATACAAAATTTAATGAAATAAAAAGTAAATTCATTTTTTTAAAGTCCGTTCATCTGGTTTTAAATAGTATTTTCGCTTAATATTGATCAACTTTTTGTTATTAACTATTTAAAAATTATTAATTATGTACTTTTCTAAGCATTTAGTATTTAAAATCGTTTTCATATTTTTAAGGTTTCTATTGTAAAACTCTAGTTTAACCTTTTAACAAATATTGAAAAAGAACAAAAAAAAAAAAAAAAAACATAAATCAAGTTAACATTGTTTCTAGTAACATATTTTACAGTAAATGTGCATTAAATTTATCGATTTGTATGTGTGTAATTTTTCTATTTTTTATATTTTTTAAAAACTAACTTAAAGATACAAAATACTACACGAGACATTTACTCTATCGTTTTTATAATCACCAATAATTTTTAATATATAATTGAAATAAGAAATTTGTTATGTAAAAAAAAAAAATATTTTTGTTAATAGATTTTAAGAATTAAATATTACAGTAATAATACGCACCATTTCAAAAGTACTACTATAAATTGGAAATATTTCTTAAAAATACGATACATTATGAACACAATCGTCTACAAACATAATACAAACTATAAAAAACATATATATATTTACTGAGCCTTAAAGGATCCACAAATTAAATTACAAAATATTCAACGATTTTATTATTTGTGGTGGCATTCAATAATTTCTGTCTTTTTGGCACATTCATATCGAGGAGTAATTGCAAACAATGAAGAATAACTATCTGAACACCTTTGGACAATTTTTGCTAGAACCATTAGGTGAAAAGTTACACTCATATGAATAAAACTCTCTAAGGCAGTTCTTAACCGATAGAGCTGAAAATTTTTGTCTAGCCGGGTGCCCTGTTTCATCCAAATCGGAAGACATAGAAATTGGGTCACTTGACACGAAATTACCCATTACTAAAAGCTTTATTGGCATTTTCCAATTGGCCAATGTCTTTAGGAGTAAATAACATTACTTTTTTATATGAATCCAGAGAAAACCTTTAGTATAAGGCAAACAAAATTGTTTAAATTTATTTAAATTTTAGATTTCACTAACAACTTTTGTTGATTAATAAATTATATTTTTGTATTTTAATTATATTTAAGACAACATAAAAAGCATACAATTACGAAAGAACGTCATCTAGGATTTGTTAAATAATTACAATATGTTTACTTTTCTTTAATATTCAATTTGCAATTTTTATTGTATTATTGACAACTGAATGGAATGGAATGTTAAATTGTAATATTAATAGTATTTAATTAATCATTTAAATAAGGCGATATGTTTCGTCCTCTTTACTGAAGATCCGAGTACAGATATACAGACAAGACGCAATTATTAAAGCGATTATTCAGAATGATTGAGATTACAAGCAAATGAAAGAGTAAATAAACAATTAATTAATTATTTCATTGGAAGGATATAACTACATATAAATAGTTAAAGGAACGCATTAAAAATGTTACTTCATCTTAAAATATATTACAACAATTAAAACTTTTCACACTTATAAGCAATTTCATTTTTTATCACTTTAAATTAATGTGTAACACATACATACAAACAAGATACATACATACATTCATCATATATTAAGTGATAATTATAAATTAATATAACAAGTCGATTTAATCATATACTATACATACGAGTACATACTATTTATATGATTATTAAATAACTTCTTATATTTTAAATATGAAAATAAAATAATTCTTAAATTTATAATAAGATATAAAAACAACATTTGTTCTCTACAAACAAAAATAAGTAAAAAAAAAAAAACTTTTTAAATTAAAATAAAAGTAATATTCTAAACTCAAAAACCAATAAATAAAAAATCTATATTTCACTCCTTTTCTCTCCCTCTCTCTCTCTCTATTAAAATGAAAACCAAAAATAGTTAATAAGAAAGTGCTTCGAATAATACAAGAGAAAAAACATTTCTTAAAATAAATTAATAAATTTTGAAATATACAGACGAATACAAAGCGAAAAAGAAACTATAAACCAAAATAGTTTTAACTTCTATTATGGAGAAAAGTTAAAGTAAATGCAATGTTAACATTATTTTATTACAAAAACAAACAAACAAAAATAAAATGAGAATTATAACTAATAATTAATAAATGTAAACAAATACTTAATATAATTTTTTATTAAAACAAAAACTCAGTTTAAGAATAAATAAAAAATTTAAGCTTCATACAAAAAAAAAAAATAAATTTAAATGGAAAATGCAAAAACAATAATTACATTTTTAAAAGACGTTTATAAAATACTAACAATTTTCAATATAAAACTTTGTTTCATTATTTGAATCGATTTAAAAATGCTACTGAAATACTTACACAGACACAAACATGCATATTCAACACAAATCGTAAGATCATACAGATTTATAAATAAAAAAATATTTATTTTCGATCAATAACGAAATTTAAAAACAAAAAAAATATTAATCTTAAAAATTTATTAAGAAACCTTTTATTATTTCAATATTAACACAATATTAGCACTTTAGACACAAAAATAATATGTTAAATTGTTTTAATTTTTAAAATTTTGTTGCCTCCATACGTTTCTAATGTGGAAATTATCTTTTCAATTTACTTTCATATGAAAATATAAGCAAGACTCTATCTTTTTATTTATTACATCATTACTTATATCTAGTTTAATAATGATTTAAATTCAGAATGAATAAGGGTGGTTATTTTTATTCAAATTTTGAAAATTTGAAATCGGCATTATTCATTTTACATAGAGTATATTTTTAAAAAGGTAAATCCCTTTTTCCCGAGCGCTCTAAACTAAACTTTAAATTTATTGATATATGTAAAGTGGATCATTTTTTATAAACATGTGTCATGTTTGATCCATGACATTTACATGGAAAAAAGACAAGGTTAGGGGCTGCTGTTTAACTGGTGTAAAATTTTAGCCAAATCGGATAACTGGAACCCGAGTCGGAAATATTGAATAATGTAAAATTGGATAAATCATAGATAGGACTTTTTTTAAATTCTTCAAAAAATGTGCCATTAAAATTATATTTTCTAAACATTTCGACCAAATCTTATCTTCATGTAATATTTTGCAGAATAAATAATTAAACACTTGTGCGTTTTTCTCTGTAAACTTTAATTTATAAAATTTATCGTTATGTATTTCGAAATCTTGAAAATATGCCATTGGAACTACTTAATACATACATATGTACATATAAAATGTTTTTAAACAGCTTGTATGTACTAATAATATATAACATCGAACAAATATAAAATATAGTTAAAGTGCTTGTTTATTTCATTCATTCATTGAATATAAAACTATTTAATTTCTTTGGAATGTACCATTATTGTAGTTAGGCGAAATTTAATGTTTATTATATGTTTGTATATTCTTATACATTTATATAAAACAGTTATAAAAAACACTTACATATGAATTCTGTAAACCATTTATATAAAATGTATTACATTATATATAAAAAAAAAAAACAATAGAAAAATCTTATAATATTATTTTTGTGTTTTTAAGGCATGGTTTCAAAAATTTTATTTTGGTTTTATTTTGGAAAACATAAATAAAGAAAAAATAGTAATATATTTTATATTGTTCTTTATTTTTATTCAAATAAAACACGACATCTGTTTATTTCTTAATATATCATCGGACAAATAAAATAAAAAAAATAATGTTCTATATTTATATAAAACTACAATTCAAACATTCTACAACAGCAAATATTATTAATTATTATATACATCAGCAAGCAAAAGCAAAATTAAATAATGAAAAATTGCTATTCCAATAAATAATTAATAAAAGAAAATAAATATATAAATTAATAAAAACGTTCAAATTGCCGTTTTAATATTAATTCAAACAAATGGCGATGCCGCATCTTCTATATATTGTGTAAAAACGCCCATTACTAAACATCTTTATATGTTGATGTTGCCGTATTATAGTAGAAATAAATGTAGCTTATTGGTAGGGTTCCATAAATCGACTTTAAAAGAATTTTCCTAACAAAGTCCATAACTCGACTGACTATCTTGTGAGAAAAAGTTTCCTATGGGCAAATAGGTGCTCTTTGTTTTATGGATTTTAGATTAACTTTGTTGATATGTATATTTTCAATATTTTTTTCTTAAAAATGACTTAATACGAATTAAATTGATTATTCAACAAAAAGTCGATTGTTCAACAGTATATGCAAAAAACCCTACTGCCAATACACGTATATTGTGAGCATCGTGGTACTAATGGAACACGTATAGAACTGTTGAATTTTCTAAAATGCAAAACTATATTGTGGTGCGTTAATAAAAAGCAAAAAAAATTAACAAATAATAATTTTTGGTAGAATGTATCACGAACCCACTTTTAATATCAAAAATGTCGTATAGTTGACTTTTTGTTGCAACTTTAAAAGCCACACAATAATGTCATCTTTAGATATTATAAACATATGGCATTTCATTTCAAACAATAGAAAATGTGGCATCTTTAAAAGAAAAAAGCTTTCGTATATAAAACAAACACAGCTGTCAAGAGACGTCATTTTGTAACAAGCGTTCGTGCGTCGTGGGTGTGTCGAAAAAATTTGGATAATGTGTTAAACTTCTTTTATTAAATAAAAATTGGATATTTAACGTTTTCGGAAAACTGTATTCATCAAAGGCAAACAAACATTGCGAAAAGCTAGAACATAAACAAAGTTGGACACAAAACAATCGTTAACCAAAGCAAAACATAAAACTGAAGATAAAGTGTTTTCTAAACTACAGACTAAAAAATTGTTAATAAAGGAGAAGGGGCGTTAGATAAAAATATTCATTTACCCAAGGCTGTTGTTGATTTACAAAATTTCGTAATATTACAAAAAGCAAATATACCAAAAAAAATTACAAAATTTACTAATGTAAAAAAATATAAAAAAATAATTATTTGATTTAATTGATAAAGTGAAAGTGTAAAAAAATCCTAAAATACTCAAAAAACACAATACGGGCGGACGCAAATAAAAAAAATACATTTCCAACTTATTCTTCAAATAATTGAATTTTTATTTTTTTGACCTCAAACCAAAACTAAAATAAAACAATATGAATGGATATACAGATTTAACTAAACTAGAAAATACTAGGTAAGATTTATTTTGGAATTTGTTTAATTTAATCAAATACCTATTTACAGATACATATTTTTAAATCATGTTTAGCATTTCTCATTAATTTCAAATTATAAACTTGCAAATAGATATTCAGTGGGTTTGTCTACAAAAGCTGATTCTCTTTTTTTAAATGGCCTTAACATCGAGCTCGGAATAGGCACAGACGAGAATTATTTTCTAAAGCTTTTACTACCGTCATTAAGTCAGCATATTAGCCAGCTACCAATACATATTAACAACACAAAAAATAAAAACATCTGATCATGTTTTCCCTGCACTTGCCAACCTCTCTATTCCACACTTTTAAACTTGGCTAACACGACAACTACATACAACAGCGACATTCAATTATTTATTGTGCTTTTTATTAAATAAAACTCAAAAAACTTAAAGTAAACACCCGCCCCTCCCTTTGCCGAAAATACACCGCTACTCATCTATTGAATTTTATCAAAGAATGACGTAGTTTTGTCTTCTGTTGTATATGTACAACAACAAAAAACTAAAATTCATTTATATCGTACGATACGGCGCGGAGTAGAGTATAAACATTTTTTGTCATTGTATATATTAATGTATCAGACCACTGTTTAAAATATGTATGTACAAATGTATATACTACATAAATTCATATGTATTTATGCATAAATATGTATATATTTTCGTATGAAGCGGTTTAAAGTGGGGTTTTCCAATTGCTTCTAAAAAATTTGATTCATTCTTGTCCATCTATCTCTAATGGTTCGTTTTTTTACAAATTACAATATACCTATACAATTGGATTTGTATATTGTTTATTTAATTAAAGATTTTGCTTTTATGATTTTTTAAAGTGTTAAGGTAAATTATTTTTTAATATTTACTAAAACTTAATTTTTACTACTCGATTTAGTTCTTTTCAGACATTTAAGTTTAAAATTTTCCCTCTCGAAAAAATTTTCCTTTTCGAACTTTCTTTTTTGTAAAATAAATAGACGTATTTTTTGAGATGTTCATTGGCATTATAAAGTATGCTTTAGGACAATTAATAGTCCCCCACTTTAATCGTTTAAATAGATAATAGGAAATATTGTGTAACTCATAAGAAACTTAAGTTTAACAATTTTATAACTTTGCATTACCAAATTTTACATTTGAAGGTCTATGTTCAAAAAATCTGCAACACAAACAAAACAATCTTTCAAGAAGACCTAAAACTGTTGATTTCATTAGTTTGTCTGAAATTTTTGTACTACAGCTGGTATTTTCCAAAGATTTCATAGCTATAATTTGTTTTTTTTTTAATTTCATTTAATTTGGTTTCCCATACATAATCCCTGTAATTAACCGTCAATAACTTTATTTATCATTTATGACAGATATTATGAGAAAGCCAATAAATACTTACTTACTATTACCACTTAATAGTGGAAATATCTATGTAATAAATTTGTACATGAGTCATTAAATTAAATTCTGTAATTATTCCGTCTAATAAAGCATTTTGCATTCAAAAAGTATTTTTTTAAAAGATAGATAAGAAATTTCTAAATATTTTGCCCTTAAAATAGATTTTTTTTATAAAAATCTAAATTAGCGGATATTGAGGATAGTCTGTCCCTCGATATAGGACCCATCCAAATACTTAATTTTTTTAAGAGCAACTTTACAATTTACATTTCTTCATAATTATTTCTTCTTAAAACATATTAAGAATTAAAGTGACATTCTGTTCAGCATTGAAAATATGAACCTATTGTTGATCAAAGTGATCGCAGCAGCTATTTAAATCATAAAATAAATGTCATTTATATGATTGCCAATTTAAAAATCATTCCTACACTCACAACCAAAAGTACAAATGCGAGTACCGGTGTACTTAAAAATGTCGAACCATTAACATCGTCATCATTGCCATCACACCACATCATACCATTATAACAAAACTACCAAGATCTAGAGCGTGTGTTTGTAAAATCAGGTCAACCACAACCACTACGTACAAATTGTTGAGATATATATGTATGTGTGTAACTAGAATATTGTACAACACCAGTGAGGGGATGTAAGTGCCTGTTTATTTCAATTGTTTCCTTTAATTCAGCTTCTATATACATACATATGTATGTATGTGTCTGTTTGTTGCCAGTAGATGTTGAATGTGCCACCTTAAAATCAGCCGATTTTGATGTGGTATTCATAGTGTGTTATGCGCAAGTGCCATATTAAACAGCTGCCAATTTCACAAGTTTACTTTTCTTTATTTATTCGTCATTCCATGTTTGTCAGCAATTCAGCAAATAACTCTGAATATTTGTTGAAATGTGGCATCTCTTAATATTTTAATTTTTGTTACATTTTTATTAGAAATAAAAAATTAGATAGATTAATTTCAGTCATATTAATTTTAATATTCTCGTTTCCATTTTCTAATTCATACAATCTAATAATACTAAATGCTCTTCAGTTTCGCCTATATACCTACTATGTATATGTTAAATGCTGTTTAAGTTTAGTTTAGATTATGATTACTGTATGACATTTTCTTGTCGTATAAGTCTTCGGAGTTAGTGCGAAGATCATTAGTCGCCTTTATGTCTGTTGATACTTTCTAATGCTTTTATATTGGCCTAACAAGAGTGGCGTGTTTTTTATTTATAAAATATTTAAATAGATTTCGTTATATTGGTATATGTTCATATATAACAGACCATACACTTATTTACTTAAGAGATTATAAAAGAGAGAGTTTTTGCATACGATAAATACTTATATTATTACTACAATTTTTGCTAATCACAGCACTTAATTTCGTTCTTATATATTGTTTTAATTTAATAAATATATCGGCGAACCACAAAGATATGTATGAAGGTATGTATATTAGACCGACTCACAAAAAATAGTGCTAGAGTTACTCTTCTCAAAATATATCTTGTTCTGCCATAAGATGTTACCCAAAATATTATGCGTTTATTGTTGTCCATTTAAATTTTTGTTTTGTTTTATGTTGATTGCTGAAATATTTGTATTCTATCGGTGGCCATTGAAGAGCTGGACCGGTTACAAAAAAGGCCTATTTTAAATTTTAGAGGTTTTTTCATAAACCTTATTTTAAATTTAAGTTTTTTGGAATATAACACTTATAAGGATAGCTATTCAGATTTTATACACCATTTTTCAATTTTATCGAAATGAAACCCAAAAATCCCTAATTGTGAGCTTATTACATACAGTTAAAATATTTGTTTAATTTTTAGGGTATATTTTATCCAAAAAGGGCTATTGGAGCATTACGATGGATTTTGGTTTTTTAGAAATAGGTGCATTTTGTGGATAAAAAGTACATACTCTAAAAAAGATTTATGATTATTTTTCCCGCAATGAGCACAATATTAGGAAGTTTTTAAGACCCATTTATTAAAAATATTAGAATATTTTTCTTGAACAATTTGTACTGAGTTCAGATTTTCGATTACTGGTAGTGAACTAAAGACCTATTAAAAATATTCTTTTAGTTTTCCCGTGTTCAGTACATAAATATTCATTGTTTTGAGACTTGCGCCTATGTTAAAACCCCAAACACATCTGAGGATGATAACTTTGAGAACAAAAATTAGCTTAAATAATAATCGTAGTAAAAATTGTTTTGTAATATTTTTAGTAGTACATGTCTAATAAAGTTGTAATACATATGTATGTGGGAAAAACTAAAACGTAATATCAGAAATAAATTCATAAGTACTAAACGATTAAATTTTCTTTTCATTATCAAGGGGTGGCTAAAGTGTAAAGTAAATTACATTATAAAATGGGTTACTAAATAAGCAAACACAGGCACGATGTCTACGCGTGGTTTATGATACGAATATAAATATGTACAGTAAGTTGAATGTCAACTTCTAGCCGTATGTCTGTTTAGCTTGCTGGCTGGCTGGCTGTCTAAATGGATGACTGACTAAATAAACGTAGACACTCACCAATTCTGTCATTGGCGTGTGTCAAAAGTTCCATATATACATGTTCATATGAATTTATATTGTATTGGCTGTAAGTTAGGGCAGCATTAATAAAATTTGTTTCAATAAGTGTCAAGGCATTTTTTATTATTGTTCATTTCAAGAACATTGTCCAAGAATAAAAAACTTTTGGTTAAACTTTATAAAAAAAAATTGCTTTTTTTTATCTTATCTTTTTAAACAATAAATTCAATTTATGACTAATTTTATTGGGAAAACTGAACTAAAAATTCCAATAGTGGGAAATCACTGCATTAGGGCAATCAGGTGATAATCAGACCACTTGTTGACAATCTAACACTTAAAGAGTGCGACAATTTATTTGAATTTTTGCCAATTTAATACTATAGTTGATGTTATATTTAAAAAAACTTTTTTTAATAAATAAGCTATAAATAAATATTTGTATGCAACTTAAAGGCGAAGTAATACTCCATATTTTTGTTTGCCATGGATACTCACTTATACATATGTATATGGGGATTTCCACGCACATTAATTGATAATATCTTAGGACCATTCCTTTTGATTGATCCTTTCTTTATCGTATGTATAGAGTTATTAGAGCTCTACATAAAAATATAAATAATTTAAATATATATAAATATTTTCACTAGATATAGGCAGTTAAAGGTGCGTGAAGTGATGTGACAAAAGTAGACTTTTCGGTGGAAATGCCCTTATTTATTAACAAGTTAATTCAAATCAATCATAATTCTATGAATAAAGATAGAAACATAAGTACATTTTAGCATTTTTTGAATTTTTTTCCTTAAGAGTTGATATTTCACAACTTGCCACTTATATGTATTACAATTATGAGTTTCAGTTCCTTCCTCTACTCAAGGTTAACTTGAAATTATACTAAAAGCTACGACAAAAACTATTTCCAAAAGCAACATAAATTTTTTAACAACAAAAGCAAGCTTATGCTTTTTACAATATGGTTATTTTTGATGCGAGACTAATAAACTGGTTTTGAACTTGGCCCTTAAACCGAATATAATATTACAACTATGTAATTTGTTTCAAACTTAATCATTTTGCCATTCATTGAAAAATATGTATGTATTAGATACATACATACATACTAGCATACACATGCATGCTTATTTTATTTATTAATTTATGCTAAAAGTTTGTCAACCAAGCCCCCTTTTTTATGAGTGAAAACCAAAGTTGTATAAACATATTTGCGGCTCATTCATTATTGAAGCTGGCTACAGCTTTTGAATTTATAATTAATTCATTTAATTGAATTATTTTGATTTTAATAAAAACCATCAATAACAAGGCTTCAAGCACACAAATTTAGAAAAATGTCCAGGTCGTTTAAAAAGAATAAATATAAATTTAATACATTTGCCAAGTCATGACTATTTCAAAAGTTTGAATGTTGTCTTTGATTTGAATGTTAACTGTTTGACATTTTGGCGAATTGATTTTTTAAAATAATAATAATAATATACTTTAAATATATTATTAATGTCTAATTTATTCATAAACAAGAAAGAATAGAAGATAGAACTAAACAAGATATAAAATAAAATATTGCTTTAGATCATCATAAGAAATGGTGATAATGAATTAGAAATCATCATGACAAAGAATATTCTTATTGGGAGCTGATGTTGTTAGGGATTTTGTTTAAAACACGGAAGTTTTTATTTTTACATTCTAACCAGACTTCAAGTCGACTGTATAATTTGTTAGGTTTTTGTTTAATGGTTTCTAAATTCTGGTTTTAGTTTATTTCGATTCATTTAATTTTTATTATAAATTTATATACATATTTAATATGAAAGTAATAACTCGATTAATTTATCTAAGTTTTAGCTAATGATTTGTTTTTAACACTTTATTTCAGAAACTGTTTACGACGTATTGCCCGCCATGATGAATTGCAATTTTCAAAGGACAGTATTGTCAACGTAATGGAGAAATTTGTTAAAACAGTTAATGTAATGGATGATACCATATTAGTTCCATGCAGGCTCATGGATCGACAGGTAAATATTGAGATTCAAATGAAAAATCATTCTTTTTAATTTTAAATAATAGAAGAATAATAATAAATTAATCAACTCTTTAAAAATTTATATTAGTTCGATTTTGTGTATTGTGAAATCACTTAAAGGTTTATGTTTTTTTATTTTCAGGTGGGTGATAGTACTGATATTATTCCAACTCCTGGTAAAGATGTGACCTCAAATCAGCATACATTTATTCCTAATGCTAATGGCAAACGTAATCCTGTTAAATCCAAAAATGTACACGAGTTTCTTAATTCTTCGGAACTCTTTAATTTGTACAACATGTTAAATGCTTTGAAGAATGATCTTCTCTGGACTGGTAAAGATGATTCAGAAGATTTGGATGAACAGCAAATCTCAATTGAAAATCATGATATTAAGACTGAAAACATTGCAACACAGAGCACCACCACAAACCCTCTAACAAACAACAGTATATCTAAAGGACACATAAGGCGTCCTTCGACAGCCTCTATGGCTTCAATTGCATCAGTTAGTCAAATGAGTGATTCCGAAAGCGATATATCACAAGAAAATGATTCTGGCGTTGAGTCAGAGTGTAACAAAAATGGCAGTGGATCAGATTCGACCAGCAGCAGCAGTGAAGATGGCCACATGCAAAGTAAGAAATTGAACAATGCTGACAAAGCCACTGAACTCGCTAAGCGCTGCAGAAGACATTTGAATGGTTTATATCAGTGTCTTGAACAAATGACAGAGGCAGCCAATTATCTGACTGCTCGATACCAAAACGATATTGGAGGCCCTGTATAGAACTAAATAATTTCAGTAAACTATTGGGTACTACACAACTGTAAAGTAAAAACACAGCTGGGTCATGGGATTTTTATTACTCGCCAGAGGGTTAATGGTACTAGCTTATTGTATTTTTAGTAGGTCATTCTAACTATTAAAAGAAAGTATAAAAAGCCTGTTAATGTATAAATATAATATAAACTTGGATATTATTCTCTAGAGTTAGGACCATTATAATTATTATTTAGTAAAAAGTAGGTTTGATGTCAAAACTAAAAACACACAACAATTATAAAAAAAAAACAAAAAAAGTGCAAAACAAGCAAACTCTATATAAAAAAGAAAACCATACACAGACAAATTGTATAAAATGACAAAAACTTTAATTGTATTGGAAATCACAAAAACAACCAGTCAAAAGAAAACCCAACAACTTGACAAAACCGCGTAAAATGGCACAAATTAACATGATTTTAAAATTCCAAAAAAACTTAAATGTTACGAAAATTATGAAAGCTTTTTAATATTATTAGAGTTTCAAGTAAATACACATCTAAACATAAGTTAAATAAAATATACTATTATAATGTTAAAAAAATCAAATGTGAAGTTAAAACTGTTGCGAACAAAAAAAGTAAATAACACGAATAAAAGCATCTACTACTTACTAATAGATTGTAAATAAGCTAATGAAAAAGCTTACAGACTCTGAGATGAAATGTGTAAGAGCTTTTCACATTTATGTGTAAAACCAAATATTACTCAATACACATTTCTAATATTTTAACAAAATTTTGCATACACATTGAATTTGTTTGTAAAAATAAATATTTCTATTACAATTATGAAAAATTCAATATTTTTTGTATGCACTAGAATTCGAAATTATGTGTGCGAGAAAACTAATTATCTTGGAAAAATGTTTCACGTTTTTTTATATTGAATTTAAATGAAAATATTTTTGTTAAAAAGAGTTTGCTTTGGGTACATTTAAACCTAGTTTTTATGTTTTATGCATGAAACACAATTTTGTTGTTTGATTTTAAAGAACACTTGTTGTTAAACAAATTATAAAGAAATTGTTTATAATTTTTTAAAGTGTCATTTTTATCTTTGTCTGTTATTAATGGTTTAAAGAAAAACTTATATGTATATATTTTTAATTGCTAACAACAACAATGTGATAAAGGCCCTCTAAATCTATTACACACCTTTTTCTATTGTTGAATTATACAAAATATGTTTTTTTCTAGTTTTTATCTAATGTGTATTTTGGCCAATTAGTCATCAAATTTTTTTTATTTTATTTTAAAATGTTTTTGTAATACAAGAACATTTTTTACGAATAAGAAATCAAATTTCTTTTCCATTTTTATTTTAAAAGTAAAATACACCATTCGACAGTTGCAAATTTTACTTTATGTAATTGGCTTTAAAATTTTTATTTTCTGTAGATTTATAAGAACTTCTTGTAATAAATTAAAATATATTAAGTTATTCTTTTATGTAAACATATTTAATGAACTATGTGTACATAAGTATAAAAATGTATTATTTTGAAAAAATACTAAATGAAACTTATTTAAAAAAAGTTCTATAAAGCAAAGCCCTTATCAACACACATACATATGTACAATTCCTTTTCCAAAAAAAAAATATATATATATATAAAATAAAGAAATAACAATTTAAATATTTGAAACCAACAAAGTTTTTTTTGTTTGATTTTGTTTCTATGACCGTATGGAAACCAATAGTAAGTAGTTCATTTTATTATCACTTTATAATACATTTTAATATATGGGCAATTTCGTGTCAAGTGACCCAACACAAAAAATCGATTGATTAATAAATGGCAATATTCAGAAATTAATTGTTTTAAATATGGACAATTTCGTGTCAAGAGACCCAACTTTTAAAATCGATGTCTTCCGATTTGGATGAAATTTAAACCAAGGTTAGTACTCCCCTAATGGGACTATGAGGTCCAAATTCAAAATATAAACTCGACAACATTTCAACACGCAATGAAATTTTACATGGGGAAAGAAGTGTTGTCGAGTTTATATTTTGAATTTGGACCTCATAGTCCCATTAGGGGAGTAGTCAGGGGTCTGCTAATTAGGACACCTCGGGTATGTTAAATTTTTAAAACGGTAATATTTCTTTGGTTGTGTTCCAATTTAAAAAAATATATACATATGTATATAGAATAACCCAATCGAGTATTCAACATAATGCCACATTTTCGGAAATTTTTTTCAATAAATATCTTAAGTGCAAGAAAATGATAAATTTCTACAAACTAGATTTAATTTCGATTGATATATAAAATAAGCTTACCTTGTAATTTTCACATCTCATGGTAAAATTGGCTCCTTTTCTCTTTTCATAAATAACATGGATACGTGACGTATACGTAATATTTGATTTTTGATGTTAAATATTTCGTCCATAATTTTACATGTGAAAAGGAAAAGGTAGACAGACGTTTTATATATCAATGGATCGAAAACTAAGTCTAGTTTTTAGAAATTTGTAATTTTTTTAGCACTTTAGACATTTATGGATGACTTTTTTGAAAAAATGTCGCAAAAATAGCTTTATGTCAAAAATCGCCTATTTTAAATTTTTTATATTTAAAATGCATATAAATTTGGAGTCAATGGAGAAAATATTTATAGTGCTCGATGATGAGATTCTATAAATGCTTTTTTTCGAAGTCGGAACACAAACGAACCATTTAAAAATTTAACATACCCGAGGTGTCCTACTTTGCGGACTACCTCACTACGCTCTGGTGACAACACCTCCTTTTTACGCATGTAAAATTTCATTAGAATCGGCAGACCGTTTAAAATTAACAAAATTATTTCCCTTTTTTATTTCTATATCACTGTGCGTTGTATTTCACGTATCTACTAAATATTCGCGTGTTTATACTTTTATCAGACAGAATCTCAGATTTTTTAAAAATGTATCTGTAATATCAAAATATCCTTTTTAATAGTACCTAACTCCACTATAAATTTGTTTTTTAGAAAGTGGACTCATGCCACTTTCAAAATTAACATAAAAGTTTTTTAAAACTTTTAATATCATAAAAACTTTAAAATAACATTCGTGTGATTTAATAATTAGAAATCGCATATCGCATATGTCACAAGTTCATATCTACGAAAATTCTTTCACAAGTTTTGTATTGCATATATTGTTAGGCGACAATAACCTCTAGCTTGTTTTTAATTTGCAAAAAAAATTTCCTCATACGCGAAGGTCTAAAACCGTTTGCTTCTTATTGGATAGAAATATAAAAATTGTTTTAATAAATCATTAGCAAAAAAACAAAAAAAAAAAAAACTTCCGCCATCTTTTCTTCTTTTTAAAAAATGTATATTTATAAATAAATTTAAATTTTAAAAAGTTTGAAGGAAAACCTTAAACACTTTTATTAGTGTAGATAAAAATTTCAATGTTTATGAAAAATTTAACAAAACAAAATGAAAATAAAAACATGGTCCAAAAGTTATAACGGAAGTTAATATTTATGAAACAGTAAGTATTTAATTTAAATATGTATATCAAAGTTACAAATTTATAATTATACGAATAAAATTCATATAATTGCCTATAATACGAAATGTTATTGAAATTTCTTTAAGGTAAAAAAAACTAATTTGAATACACAATATCGAATGAAATGTCAAATTAAAAGAGAAATGTACATGCATACATAAAAAACATATTTTTATTAAATGTTATACATATGTATGTATATACACACATACATATGTATGTATATTTGTTATGTATCTATTTATAAAATAATTTGAAATAAATTCTAATATTTTTTATTTAACGAAGCTGCATAGATTGTCTATCCTTTTGTTTATACTAATAATAAAAGTGTAGGTTAAATTTGTTAACAAAGATTTAATATCAATGAAATTATATAAAAGTTAAAGTTTTTGTTATTTATACAAAACGATGCAAATTATTTGTTTTCTATTCAATTAAAACAATGTCCTTAAGTCACAATTCCAGCAGTAAATGTATTCTTTCTGTAAAGTATCACATTGTCGGCCATGATCGACTGACTATATATTGATACTGGTTATTTATTTAATTATAGTAGTTTTAGAAAAGATAACAATAAATAAAATCAACTGTTGAAACATTTAAATATAATCTAGATATTCTGGAAATAGTATTAAAATATTTTAGTTATACTTATACAAAATTTTGCTTATATGTATGAGCGTCTTATTTCTGTTGCATAATGTTTTATTAAGTTTTTTTTTAAGAATGCTATTTATATATCGCCCATTGTCACTTAACACAGTTTCGAGCAAGGCGGCTTTAAAATTATTTTACTACATATTCTTTAAATAATAGAATAAGTATAAGAAAATTACACTCCAAAAATAATTTATTTAATTCCTATATCTCTCTAGGACATAGATATTCATAAATATAGGAAATATTTTCAACAATTAGCAACGAAAGAACAAAAAATATATTCAACTGTCAAATCAATAGCAGCAGAAAATTTATTCAAATTAATAATTGTATTAAAATCAACGTTTAATATTAGTTTATAAATACGTATAAACTTTATATCTTTGTACCTATTTCGTATTTTTTTTTTAGTTTTTTCTTTTAACTATTCTTCTAAATATGTAGATTCATTTAATCATTTGTTGGAACTTCCTATTTCCTCATTTACACTTTCAAAGTAAATACCTAACTAACAAAACAAAACAAAAAACATCTCGAATAGCTTAAAAGCTTAAATCAATTAGTAAATACTTACCCATACAAATCTTTAAGCAGAATAACGTTTATAGATATACGATCGAACGATCGATTACGAGCATTACTCACATTTATAGAAAATTCCAAATCATCATTTGATTATAAATTTTGTTTATGCTACAGAAGTTTAAAGACTTTATTTTGTAATACGATTAGAAAATAATATGAGTACCTATGTACATACAAGTATGTTCGCAAGATATATATAGAAATTGAAATTTTTGGATTTTTTATAATAATATAAACTCAGTTAACTTTATAAATCTTTATAAATCATACATAAAAAACTTTATTATATCAGCAATGCGTTCTTTTAAATTTCTGTTTAGTTGAATCAACAACATTTTACGTTTTTTTTTTTTTTTTTTGAACTACATTAACGCTTGTTTACTATGTAAACAAACAAAAAAAGTCAGAAGAGAAACCTGTCATTTTGGCCATCTTTCGTCTAAAGTCCAAAAAATCTATAAAGTCATGCTTAAAAAACAATTTCAACACTAATAACAACAAATAGCGGTCGATGAAAAGATTGAT